GTCTTTCCTATTTAGAGCCCCACATCTCTGTGGTTTTCAGAAGTTTTCAGAAGCCGTTGCCTTACTAGAGATTTAAATGCACAGCAACTGCAATCAAGGGAACTTTTAACCAGATCAGCAATTTGCACAACTGTTGTGTAATATATATGTTATGTGTGTGTATATATAAAATATTACATACTTCATATAATATAAATATTTTAGTAATTAGTCATTCCAGTCATTATGGTTATTCCAGCTAATCAGCATAAAGTTCAGAATACTTGATATGAGGAACATAAAATTCCAAACCTTCCGCAAATGCAGATAGGGCATAGCTGGTACAAGGAATTCTGGCTGCCTCCTTTCTCCTTCTCTGCCTTAGCTGAATATTGCTATATGAAATACTATGTAATCATTATGGCTGTTTCTCTGTTTATTAGAAAAGATAGTGTCTTCTGATCATTTGTCACTATATTTTATAGTAAGATGAATCAGATGAGTTATTCCTGCTAATGAGTCGCTGTTTCTGCACCATTTAATAGCTTAATCCCTCTTCTATAGTTACATATGCTTGGAGGGCTTTTACCTTGCTTGTTTTTCTGTTTATTCTTTGTGAGGCTGGATTCATGCTTATGTGGATGCTGGTAATAGAATTTTACACTTCTGTTCATTTTGCTCATGGTCAAAGGTTTTGAAACAAAAGTACAGTTAACATGCAAGATGAGCAGAGCTGAGGTTTGCCTGTATGAAGACCAGTGGAGAAGTCATGGTTCACCCTTTCATGCAATATGCACTGCCTGTGCCCTGGGTAATTTTTAATGTTTACAGATATTTAGGCCAGAAATACCTCTTCATGTCAACAAATGATATCAGATTAATGGATTCTAAAATCTGGAAAACAAATCTAGTTGAGTCGGTCCTTTTTCTGTTTCCCAGCAAAGGCTCAAGAACTTTGTGAACTTTCCAAACGCCTACCTAACAGGCCTGCCATTCTAAACTTCTATTTTTTTTATCAGTCAAGTTCTACTTAGGAAAAGTATTTCATTGGATACACCTCATCTCCTCCTCTGCTTGCCCCAAGGCAGTTGCACTCACTGCTTCTTCTGACACCTGTTTTCTGGCTACTCTCTTTCTTGCACCTGCTGCACTGGTGCACTTCCAAAGCACTCGTGAGTTTAAACAGCATTAAACTGGCATTAAAGGTGAGCAAAAAATTCTGACCGGAACAAGTAAATGTGCATTGCATTAGAAGGCCAAGGCAGAAGTACMTCTGAGCTGTCCCAGTGTCAATGGAGTGAACAAAAATCAAGGGCAACATATTCCATGGGCTCCACACTCCTTTAGTGAATTCAAGGGAGGTAAACCTCAGTGGTTAGAAACTACTGACAAAGACACCAATCTGAATCCTGACTGAATTTATAGCAACCCTCAGGCTTGTTTCTGTCAACTGTGGTGCAGGACCCAAACACTTGTGATGAAAAACAGGCAGTGTTTGTCAGAGCAGTTGGTGAGTAGGTTTTCTGAAYAGTAGTAAGTGGTCCTAAAACCTAATAGGCATTTGGTAAGTGGGGGAAAGTTTATTTGGTTCTTTATGTCCACCAGTGAAACTTCCTTTGTAGTGTTACTTCCTGTCCCCAGAGTCACTCTTTGTAAATAGGTTTCTCAAGATGTTTTCTCTTATATAAAACATACTCTTTACTTTGTGAATATTTGATTGAATGGCTGCTCAACATTTACAATAGATTTTTCATCTTGATCAAGGATGGACAGGAAATATTGCCTTTTTGCATATTTAGATAAAGGGACAGAAAACACATAGACCGTTCTAAGGTGTTCCAGAGTCACCCCTTTACCTTAGAGTCTCAGGTTTTAATTAAAATTTTCGTCTTAATGGCTCCTAAGAAAAACGTGAGATGACCTGACAATATTAATTAAATACATGTCTGTCTCTTTGAAACAATAGTTTACCTGAAGCTCAGACAGACATACCCCAGTGGGATTGTGACTAAGAGCAGTACCACTCTGCAGATCACATTTCCTCCTGGCTATTCAGAAAGTGCAGAAGTAACAGGAGTACAGCAGGCCCAGGTCTGGCATTGATCATGTGTACCCTGGCTCCAAGTACTGGCAACCTCTACTCCAGGTGGRAGCAAAAGTCTCCTCATGGCATAAAATCTTTTGCTGCTATTCTGCCTCTCTGGTAGATGACTGTTGTGTCATTGCACATGTCCCAGACCAGGAATAAGGGACTGGTACAGATGGCATAAAGTGGAGGTGTACTTACTGCCACAGACCAATGGATTCTGAGAATGCTGGTATTTTTAACATGACTAACTTATGGTTCTAATCCACCAGGATTAGTTTTGTTTTTATTTGAAATTAGATTATTTTTGTACTTCAGTGGCTGAAGAACACTTTCCACCATTCCCCTGATGTATTCTACTGCATTAAACAAATCTCAACCATGAATTATGTTAGCTTTTTATTTCAGCCATTTAATAATTGTGGCCTTTCCCACCATGAGAAAATAACATTTTACAGCAGGACATAGAGGTTTCTGGACTAAATGCTAAAAGCCAGTCTCACTAGCATAGACACTAAGCCTTCTGAAACCAATGGGAAAGAAAAAGCTCTTGCATTCTTCTGATCTGTTGGCAGTTTCATCCATGATAGCTAAACCTGGAATTAAGGCTAAAAAATATCCATTGTTACTTCATATTGATTTGAACTCTGTCAAAGTGCTTGGAACYGTACAGAACAAAGAAGACAACAGAGTTAATGACAACTCTTAACTAGATGTGTGTTGAACAGCAAGACATCAGAACCAGCTCATTATGGAAGCTGAAATAATTGGTTTGTGAAGCTTCCTGAGAAGCATATAAAGCAAACATTTACAAAGGTTATTGGATGATATCTTCAGTTTCATCCTAGATGACCTCAAATTAACAAGCCCATAMAATAGGTTTCTTATTTGATCAAAAAGTTAAGATTGTTAAATGACAAATCCTGCGGAAAGCACCTATTAAAAGAAACATTTGCCACTGATAGGGCTTTATATCTGATATGCTCAAAAATGAGGTAAGGTGTAGACAGGCATCAAGTATTATGTAAAAACAATGATTTTAAATTATCTTACTACTTATGAGAAAAATCTGTAAAAGTCATCCCAGACAGATAGAATAGAAAATAATACAAAGACTTCTGTGAGGCAGCTTATCACAGGCAGACCTGCAGCATCCAGTCAAGAAAAGCTGTGATCGTTCAGTATTACCTTCCTCCCAAAGACCAGCAAGGTGCTTAGCAGGTAACACAGAGGTCTGAGAGACCTGAAAAGGCTCCACTCTGAACAGCCTGTTAAGATGCTCATGTGGAAGGCAGTCAGGAGCAGGACAGACATGTCCTGGCACTGACAGTTCACTCTCCTCACACAAGAGCAAGACTGACCACAATTGGAGCTCACAGGCCTTGACTTCAACACGTGCCAAGAGGGTGCTTTCTAAAAATGGCAGTAGACCTGCAGTACTCTTTGTCAGAGGCTGGGATTGGTGTGGGTTCACAGAGAATGGGGAAATTAATGGTACAGCAATCTACCAAGGATAGGCATAAAAACTTGGGGGGGTGAGGTGAAAAAAAAATTCCCAAAAATTCAGTTGAGGATGCCATTTGGTTGGAAGTTGGAAAAATATCTGGGAAAATATTCACACAATCACAGAAAGGCTTGGGTTGGAAGTGACTTTAAGGGTGATCCAGTTCCAACCCCTCTATCACAGGCAGGGAGACCTTTTACTTCAACCATGTTGCTCAGAGCACCATCCAACCTGGCCTTGAACACTTCCAGGGATGGGGCATCCAAAACTTCTCTGAGCAGCCTGTTCCAGTACCTTCCTACCATATGAGCAAAGAATTTCTTCTTAACATCTATCTAAATCTCTGTTAGCTCAAAACTGTTCCTCCGTTGTCCTATCACTATTTATACATGTGAAAATTCACTCTCCCCYTTTTTTATAAGCCCTCTACAGTTACTGGAAAGTGTTACAAGGYCTCCTTGGAGCGTTCTCCAAGTTGAACATCATAGGATACATGTTCCATCCCTCTGGTCATCTTTGTGACTATAAGCTTGTGAAATTCTAACTTTTTTCCTTGGTATTTGCCCATCGTCACTTTTGGTAACAAGGAGCTAGTTAAAAATGCTTTTTACACCCTTATGTCTGTTACTCACCCTAGTTGAGTGGCTTATAGTTTCTCAAGTAGTTCAAGGTACTGCAGCCAGTTAGGCTTCATTTCCTCGATGTGCTCTGAAAGAAAGAAAGAAAAAATCCACAATGAGATAAGTCTCAGCAGAAAGCACACACCCCTTACCTGTTGTGACAGGAAGGAAGCAGACCTTGACAGTCAGCTGGCTAAAGGCCAGGGTACCTCACCAAGTACCTGGTAGCACTATATATCATTTTTGATAATGTCCAGGTCGGGTAAGACTTTACACATGTACATAGTAGTCAAGGGGGTGCGGAAGTGTTCTCCGAGACTGATTTATGAAGTCTAGTTTGGGAATATCACACCACGTTTTATTTTCAGGAGCTAACATGCTGTCAGCCGTTCCCTGACCGGAAGGGCAATGCAGAAATAGATTCACTCCCCAAAGTGACCGCACAGACTTGACACAGTGGAGACCATTTTGTTAAATTAATCTCACATTTCCTACAAACATCTCCCCTAAAAAACCTCGCTGAGAAGAAGCCGCGCTGGGGTTATACGGAAGCACAAGGCTGTGTACAGTTTCCAGGGTCGGCCCAAGCCTCGCACCGCAGGCTCAGCACGGCGCCGCCCCGAGGAACGCGCCGGGAGCGGCTCTGGCGGAGCGGCCGCGGCTCTGCCCCCGAGCCCGGCGGGAGGCGGTGGCGCCCGGCCGGCCCCGCCCGCAGTCCCGCCCCTTCCTGCGCTCCGGTGGCGGCGGCCCCGCTCTGCCCCGGGTCCAGCGCAGGCTGTCCGGCCGGTTGTGCCCGCTCCCCCCGCGGCCGGGCGCTGTGCGGGCCATGCTGCGCGGGGCGCTGGCGGTCGCTGCCCGGCGGTGCGGGCTCGGCCCCGGCTCCAGTCCCGGTGCCGGCCGGGGGCAGGCGGGGGCGCGGCGGTGCTCGGGCGCGGCGCGGCGGCGGCAGTGGGTGCCTCCGGCGGGGCGCGACAGCGGGATCGTGGCTTACAACAGCCGGAGCCGGAGCAAGGAGCCGCTGGTGCTGGCCACGGAAGGAGTGGCGACCTGGTAGCGCCTTGTGGCGCGGCGGGCGGGCCTGGGGGTGGCGGGGTTGACAGGTGCGGTTTGTGTTCGGAAACGGTTCCTGTGTCCGGTTCTGGGCTCCTGAGTACAAGAAAGACATGGAGCTACTGGAGAGGGTCCAGCGATGGGTCACAAAGGTGATTAGGGGATTGGAGCATCTCTCTTACGAGGAGAGACTGCGAGAGCTCGGTTTGTTTAGTTTAGAGAAGACTGAGAGGGGAATCTCATCAGTAGTGAAATACCTCAAAGGTGGATGTCAAGAGKATGGTTTCAGGCCCTTTTTGGCATTGTCCAGCGGTAGGATGAGGAGCCGTGGTCATAAACTAAACCACAGGACGTTTTACCTTAACATGAGGAAGAACAACTTTAGGTTAAGGTTTTAGGTTGAGGGTGGCAGAGCACTGGAACAGGCTGCCCAGGGGGCTTGTGGAGTCTCCCTCTCGGGAGGCATTGAAAACCCACCTGGACATGTTCCTGTGTAACTTGTTGTAAGTGACCCTGCCTTGACAGGGATTTGGACTGGGTGWGCACCAGAAATCCCTTCCAACCCTAACAATTCTGTGATTCTGTTTGCACTCTGCAGGTACAGCTGTGGSCCGACAGTGTATGACCATGCACACCTCGGCCATGCCTGGTGAGTAGTGGATTGCAGYGTGGGGGCATCCAGGCAGATATGCAGTGCAGGACATCCCCAGGCTCAGGTGTGTGTCCGGGTGACAGAGCTGTGACTGGTGACATGGGGCCCAGCYCTTTGCCTCCTGTGCCATGCAAAGGGCAAAAGTCTGTTTGTTATGTTTTTTTTCCTCTTAGGTTGGGGTAGCCCATAAAGGGGCTGTTGGTTCTGCTGCCTGGCTGAGGCAGAGACAGGGTGTTTGTYTGTGTCTTGGGAAGAAGCCTTAGGACTGTGTGCAGTTTGTTTGGGTAGGGTGAGTTGTTTCARATCGTATTAGCATAACCTGACCTCTCATGTGGAGGAGTTGTAATCCTGGAGCAGAGTCTTTCTGCTGTGTGAAAAGATAGTTTCACCTCAGATTTATTTTGGACGCTGTGTTAGCACCAAGGAAAAGCCGTGCAGGTTGGAGAGGTACTTTCAAGGTTTACAGATGAACCCATTGTTCTTAAATCTYGGAAAGTCCAGGTGGCTTAATGGCCTTTTTGCGTGGTAACACTACTATGACTTACTGTTTAAAAATACAGCCCAACAATAAATGGGCTCCATTATAAGTAACTTTGAAAAAAAACTTTAAATAAATACACCAGAGAACGTTGCTGCCACTTTTTCAAAAACCTGATCAGTAGATGTGCAGGGTGTCTGCTATTCCTGTGAAACTGAGGGAGTTGCAGCAGCTCAAGCTGCCGTGGAGATGTCTCCTCATTCTTAAAAAACACGTGTTAGGCTCTTGGAAGAGCAGGGATTTATCAGATGATTGCCATCTGTATGAAGATCAGATATTATGCATTTAAGTAATTGASTAATTCCCTTTTAATGTAAGGATTTCTCATCTTCCTCTCTTGTCTCAACTTCACTCAGAAACTGGTGTTGAGTCTTGCTCACGTTGAACTTAGCCATCACTGTACTGCACAACTGCTGCTTTGTTCTGTGGAAAGGAAGACTTAAAATACCAGTTACATAAAAATACTGTTGGTAGTGCTGATGTTAATGCTGTTGTGTGTATGTGTTGGTGTCATTTTCCTCCTTGCTTTYGTCAAGTCTCAGCAGAAAATTGACCTAGCTTTTTAGTGATGACCTAAAAATCAAGAAAACAGTATCTTGGACTTTTTGTTCGTACTTAGTACCTTCAGGGGAACTTCAATTTAGTTCTTTTTTCTAAGTCATAGTAATTTGTGTATTTAAATCTACAGTTGTGGTAATATAGGCTCTGTTACAGTTTATTTTGAAACAATTAGGATTTAAAATCATCACTTCAAAGTACTGTGTTAGAAGATGGCAGTAAGTTACTTTTCTTTATCCCTCTGTCGAGGTTCTCTAGTGTGGGAGGACCTGTCTTCCCTGACATGGTGTAACAGGGGAGGGAATCAHAGAGGTTCTTCAGACCTAAGGAGTTCAGTAGATCTAGAGCACAATGTTTATAGAGGTGGAGAATGTCAGCCTTTGGTCTTGCAGCTCTTTGTGGCTTTTAAATGTCTTTTTTTCAGTGGTTCTCTTGCCTTCAGACTTCAGGTTAAAAGAGGGGGTAGAAAGGCCTTGCTCACTTCTTGCCTGTTTTTTTTACCCATCTCTTCTTATCCTGTGTCTAAACTAGCAATTTCAGGCTTTCTTGTTGTGAGGGTTTGTCATGCATCTGCATCACCTGSGTTTGACCTCTTCTCTGGCTGATTTAAGAAAGAATGGTTAGTGCTGAATATTGCCTTTGGTGTATCATGCAGACACACCAGGTATGATTCTCTCTTTTAGCACCTCTTTAAGCACCTTCACGTGTTGTTTCTGTTGTGTGACAGAGTGTCTGCACTGAAGACCTTCCGCTTTCTTCTCTCATCAGTTAAAAACCCTCCAGCGTGGGAGGAGATGGCTGTTACTTTCCAGTATCTCTGGTCTTRCACATGTCAGTGTTGACATTCTGTTGCTCAGTTGATTTGTTCAGGATCACGGAACACTCTTGGCTCTATTTATTTATTTTTTTAAATGGTATATCATTTTCCCCAGTAGCTAGGTCCAGCCATAGAATGGTTGAAATGTGTGCTGCTGATGGGGGCCGGGAGATGCACTGGGAAATAGCATAAAGTTAGATGGAGTGGTGGCTGTTGCTGCTCTGCTGCTCTTGTCAAATGCCATCATTTTGTTGTACTCTTGCCACAAGCTCTGTTCTCACTAGAATTCGCTTTTTTCCCCTATGTCTTACTTTTGGCTTATGTCAAGCACAACAAATGTAGCAGGTAATAATGCAGAAATGGATCATAGAAATGAGCTTGAGATCCTTGAGAATTTGGAMATAATGGCATTATTTTTCTCCTGTCCTCCTTCCCCTCCACAAGGAGTACTTATTTCTCTAAATAATTCAACATTCTCTAGTATGTTGTGCTTCCAGTCTTAAAAACAGATGCTCTGTCTGCYTCTGTATGACATCCAACACCCTTGTTATGTAAAGAAAAAAGTAAGACAGGCAGATAATAGTATTTTTTCCCCAGTTCTGAATCTGACCTTGTTTTTACTGGTTTGAACTGCAGCCTGGTTGGCATCCAGGTTCCTGGCTGAATACTTGGAACTAGGAGTAAAACCAAGGACAAGTGATTTCTCTGCCACCCCCTGATTTTGACTGTCTTGGCTTTTTTTTTTTTTTTCAGTCCTGAAGCAGTAAAGACCCTGCTTTCCAAGGTGTTGGGAAATCTGTTCTGCTCTTGCAGTGTTTCTTCCATTAATTCAGTTGGAAGATCAGAGGAGTGAGAACAGTGTGAAATTTGTGTCTGCTCAGGGARCAGTCACTGCAGGGCTGTTAAATCTAATATCAAGCTTTTGATGCTGGCGTTGTTCCTCTGAACAGGGTCCAAAGACCAGTTTAATATTCTTATGGAATTGTGTCACCACATTAAATGAAACTTACTACCAGTGAGCTGGTATTCATTAAAAACTATCTCTCCCTGGCAGCAAGACTTTCAAAAAGCCGTTTCTCAACATGGGCACGGCACAAACAACAACAAAAAGTATTTTTCCTTGTCCAAGATATTACACATCCATTAATCAGTACCTTAGTTCCACCTGGCACCTGCAGCTGAAGGCAAGGGTGCAAATTGTTTCTAGGAGTTACTTCTTTGTTCTGATTGCCATGGGAGTTGCAGTTTTTGTGATGCTGTGGACGAAATGGGAACCTGTAGGTCTGTGAATCTCCTTGCTGGGTTTGGAGAAAACAGAAAGTGCTTAGGATTCTCATCATCTTGCAGGGCAGACCTAGTCATCTTCTAGTGTCTCACCTAATAGTTGGGTTTAACTCAGTCAATTTTGAGAATTGCAGATGGAGAGTCTATGAKCACAAGGAGCTGCAACAGCCCTGTRCAGCTTGCACATGTATCAATTTATCAGCATTAAATACTCTGCTCTGTGGCAAAACCACTGAATAATTTTCAGAATAACTTTTATTCTCAAGTGTAAATAAAACAACTTACAGAATAGCTAGTCTTTGCTATCAGAAAAGATCTATGGTGGTGTGTAAATGAAATAGTTTATTGGTGGCTGGTAGCTGTTGTTGCTACTCAACCCTAAGCAAAGTTAATTTGAATTCTGCTTTATTTCTCCCTGTTCTTCTGCCATGGGACTTTTGAAAACCTGTTAGAGTATACGAAGCCCAAAGGATGTATTTCAAGAATATCTGATCTCTGTGTCATATTTTATCCTGTTGGCTTTGAAAGAGTATTCTTGCTCATGTAGCTTGTGATGCCCTTCGGTGCTTGAATAAAGAGATGCAACAAAAGAAAACACTTAGAAAATTTGATGTAATGTGTCACTAATGCCAGAAGAGGGTAGGCCAGTTCAAGAGAAATTTGCTTGACTTTTGTGCAGGTAGCAACTGGTTTTGGAAAAACACCTTATGCACTGAAGGTATTTTCATTGCAAGTGATGGGGTATTTTGATTGTCCCTGTGGCTGTTGGTTATTTTTGTTTAAATTTATTCTTACTACTGCTTGTTCAAAAGCACATGCTTCTTTCTTTTCCAGCTCTTATGTTAGGTTTGATATAATTCGAAGGATAATGACAAGGTTTTTTGGAATTGAAGTTATCATGGTGATGGGGATTACCGACATAGATGACAAGATAATAAAAAGAGCCAATGAGGTAGGTGTTTTCTGTAGTCTTTTGGTATTTTCTGATCTGCTTGCATAGGAAAATTAACCTGGGCTTGGGGTTCTTTTGTTGAGTTATGTTTCTTTTAATTAGTAGACAATAAATGTCGAGRTTTCTGGTCTCCTGGTGTGGCTGTAGTGGGTCTGGGAGTGAGGAGGGCTGGATGCCAAGGGCTGTGTGGGCATAAATGGGTGCAGAGCTGGGTGATGGGGAGGGGCAGAGAAGGGGGCTTACCTTMCAGCACCTGCAGCTGGGATCCTCCTGCTACCTGGGAGGCTAGCAGGGAGCAAAAGTCCTGCGTGAATCCTCAGCACAGTGAAATTATCCCAAAATTTATCAGTCAGGAGGATTTTGACTGAGTTCTGGAGAAGTGTGCMATGATCATGAGAGGCAGTACATACAGCACTGCCACACAGGAGGCTGAGGGCAGTTCCTGGAAGGTGCCGAGCACCATCTAGCTGCAATGTCAGCACCTTGGAAAGCTTTWTCAGGCTTGACTGAGTTTGTCACCTACAGGAAAGTTAACATTGTTGCGTGTAGGGATGAGTCTTGGTAAGTGGRGCTCTAAGTGGTTCTCAGTAGAATTTTAATCTGATCTTTTTTACCAGATGAGCTTGGTGAATGATTATTGCAATTCTTTTTCAAAATAATTTTAAAAACACTTTTTGAACTTTGAAGCACTAAGAGTGTATTTTTGTGTTTTATTCTGCATTTTGAGTTTTTTTGTTTTTCGTTTTTACAATCTGTAACTCATGTCTTCAGGATCATAAGTGAATGTTTGGGTTGAATTGCAGTTGCAAGCTTTAAGATAGTTTCTTGGAGCCAGAGAATTTGACAGCTGTCCCTTTTACTTAATCTTTAAGTAAACAGTTACTTTTGCAGTTAAATATAGGGCAGTGCATTCAAATGAATGGTAGCTCATGTAGAAATATGTCTGTTTCCTTAGTCCCTTTACTTGCAGTTTTCTAAGGCAGTAAACAATTTAAAAACAAACAGCCTCCAGAATTCAGGCATTTAAAATCTATGTTTGCATTTAAAAWTTTTTCTGTATTGTCAGAACATCTTAGAGATTTTATGAGGAGGGGGAAATTACATGTTCTTGAAAGACGTGTTCATTTATTGCATCCTTTGGTTCTGTGAAGCAGTCTTTTAATGGCTTTTTTTCATGACTTTTTGAAATGTTTGCTCAACCATTTTGTCTGGATGGCCAAGGCCTCTACCTCAGCAGCCTGCTTTTGTTGTTGGAACCTGTATACTTGAAGCATTATAGTGGTAGGATCAACATGCCTGAGCTTGCTCTCCCATCTGGTGGGGTTCATCTGGGGGAAACCTGAAAGTGGGGTATCTAGTTTATGATGAATGTGCAGCATGTCCTCGRTGGTCCTTTGAGAGAGAGATGAGTCTTTCTGTGTGTTGATCATCTGTCTGGAAGGGAGGAATTTCTCCATCTTCTTTCTATAGGCACATTTGTTTCTCACTTGATCAAAAGAGCAGCTGAGCTGTCCAGAGAGATGAATCCAGTCAYTGGCCTGTAGGCAGAAGGATATCTTTGTTTTTCAGTGCTGAGCACCTTCCTCATTTCATTGCTGGATGAACACCTGGACTGTTCACCAGAATTCCTTCTTTGTCCAGGAGCTTATACAAATGGTGACGCTCACTTGTGTTCTGAAAATCAAAACCCATAAAGATGCTCCAGTAATGTATTGGAAGTTATGAAATGGGATTTGCATTGTTAATGATTCAGTTATCTGCAAGCTGGAGAGGCCAAAAGCATGTTTGTCTTCTTCCCAGTAGTTTATTCTCAGAGAAGGTGTAAAAGCATGCATTTGAAAGGCTTTGATACCATGCTGTTGCTTGCTAGGGCAGGTTTTACTATCATTCATCTTTTAATCCCTGGTCTCTTCTGAATATTTGAGAACAAGTGCCTTATGTGCAAGTTTCCTTTCCTTTTGGATTGCATTTTCTCATTCCCTCTGGAAGAGGAACCTGTTCCTGTCCCATGAATGAGAAATGCAGAGAAGGTGCTTGAGAAATGCCAGACTTGGCAAAGCGTGGAATTGACTTTCAATACTGAGATCTATGAGTACCCATGATCTGCTGAAATAGCTTATTTTTCTTAATCACTGAAAATTAATATCTTGTCTCATCCTACAAGTCTCTGATCTGTCTTTCTGACACGTAGGTGGTATTGGTGTTTTCTGTTAGTAAGTTGAATGGATTTTACGTCCTGTGTACTGTAGTGCATTTTGTCACTGGAAATGGAAGTCCCTCTCAAGAGGAAAATAATAAGAGAGGGAAGGAGTKTATTGTTTTAGTCTTTGGTTACTTTCTCTTAAAAGATCTGTGTTAATATTTTGGAAATTGAGGAGCATAAATGAAATACTACTGTTAAGTTATTTATAGCATACATCTCCCTGTCAATGTTAGACTAATAAGCCTTTCTGACTCTTTACCTTGGGGGCCCTGTAAGTCTTCCARTTAGCTATTAGCTGTCTGAGAAAAGATTGCCATATTTTATATTATYACTCTGATTTATGATTCACTAATCCACTTCTTTTTTTTCAGATGAATATGTCCCCAGTAGCTCTTGCACGTATTTATGAAGAGGACTTTAAACAAGATATGGCTGCCTTAAAGGTATAAATACTCAAGATTCTAAATTCAGGCATATTTCTAAGCAATTATTTTGGTAAGGAATCTGGTTTTGAGAGTTTGATCTGAAAAATAAATTTGTTGCTTGGAAACGGAGTGCTGATTTACTTTTTCATTCTTCTGGAAAGATGTTCCACACCTTTTGAGTAAGAAAGTGGGGGGAAAAGCAGTCCTGAGCTTTGGAATGAACAAGTTAAATTTCTTTAGGAACAATTTTTTTCCACATTCAGTAGAATCTTCAGAGATACTGCGTATTTACGATAATGCAGAAATAGCCTGATTGAAATCATAGGAAACATGAAATCTTCTTTCACTGATTTCAGGTGACTTTGCTTCTTGTCTCCCTGTCAGAAGCAGAGAGTAAGCCACTGAAAAAAATAGGGTTTTTTTTGCTACCCTCAAGTATTTTTTGTGTGTGTGTATTATCTTAAATACCGCTTATGAACTTTTTATGATAATTGCAATTTTTTTGTTTGTTTAGTTTGTTTATTAGAGTGAAGGAACTCATCAGCAGTGTGTTTTATACAGATTAATGAGATGTTACTCTTTTTTTAAGGTCCTTCCTCCTACAGTATATATGAGGGTGACTGACAATATTCCTCAGATAATTTCCTTTATAAAAACAATAATTGCCAATGGACAAGCTTATGCAACCTCACAAGGTAAGAATTTTAGCAAGGTAATTCCTTGTTCAGCACATGTATAGGAAGTCACTGCTCTTAGTAATCCTGTTTTGGAATCAGAGGAGATACCCTGTGCCAGGCTTTCCTTCTGTTGCCTAACAGGGTGTAAGCAAATAGTTTGTGCTGACATGAGCAAGCAGAATAACTATTACTCAATTTCTAAGATAAATTTGGCTCATTACTTAATATAATTGTTTACTGTAATGAACTGCTATCTGAACTCCTTAAGGAATTCCTGGCCTGGTTTCTACAAGAAAACTGAGGGAACCTCTAAAGGGGAGCTCTGTCTCYTTTGCGCTATAAAAGATGTGCCTGCAAAGCACAGTGTGGGGATTTTTTTTTCAGGAGAGCTGGTGGTTGTAGAAGGAGTCAAGTGCATTGTAACTGGACTAGATGTAGCTTGAGCTACAGTAGGGGAGGGGATTGCTGATTATGCTTGGGCAAGGAAGAACCTGGGAGATCTCCAGGATTCGAAGTTGTTCTGTGGGCAGAATGAGCATGTGCACAGAGATTTCTGAAAAGCTGGGTAACATGGAAACATTTGCTACTACCTTTGCAGTGTTTCTGAATTGCTAAGTCAGAATTTCAAATGGGAGTGGAAGAGCACTTGGTTTTGCTTTCAGGGAAATGTTATCTCCTCATCGATGTGCCCTATCTTTGCTGTATAACTAATAATTTCTTTTCTATTAGGCAATGTTTATTTTGATGTTAAGTCCTGGGGAAAAAGATACGGAGTATTAACTACTATTAATCCTGATACCCAAGATGAAGCAGGTAAGTTCATGGCACCAACTTATTTGTGTTAAAGCATTGTTTGAATGAGTGATGCATCTGTGTGCAAACTTTCATTCAATAGTCTGAAACAGTTTTCTAACCTGTTGTGTATAGCTAACTTCATGGTTAATTAAGATTACATTGCTTTCATAGTTACTTTTTGAGGCACTCACTGTTGCCAGTGCTGGAGGAAACTTGGTCTCTCTTCTTCCTTATATCCTTCCCCTATACCTTTGTTTTGGTACCTTAGAATAATTAGGAKCCTTAATCAGTTTTAATTAAAAGCTTGTCCGTGGTACAGAGAATCTTCACAGTGAGATAGTGTTCTTGCTTTGCACTAGCCAGGTTCAAGGGKAAACACAGGGAATCCTCATCTACCATGCTGTTGTTGGGGCAGTTGCACTCTGAAACTAAGTGTTTGAATTGCTTCCTTCATTGTCACTGGGTTAAGCAACCTCTTTGTGGAGGATGAGCAACCTCTTCATAGGCTGTGCTAGAGCAGGCCTGTACCCTGGGCTGTGGGTTTTTTTTGCTGCAGTTCCTGCTTTGCCGGATTGTGAGCCTCTTTGTAGGTTCTGTAAGTTGKGTCTGATCAGGTCTCTGCATCGGAGAATTTGATGCAGATCTCCTGCATCATTTTGTGAACTGAAGTTCGGTGTTTCATCATTAAAAAAAAATCTGTTTGCAATTACTGAAAATGCCTGGCAGGCTGATGCTCAGGTGAATTTCAGCAGAACTTCTCACAGTTCTGCTCTGGAGTTGTTACAGCATTACAGCTCACAGAGCAAATGCATTTTGTCAACAGTTATTTAGAGGTAATACCTGACTGCAGRGGAAGCCAGCAGCCTCCTRGGCTGCACAGGGAAGAGCATTGCCAGCAGGTCAGTGGAGGTGGTCCTTCGCTGCTCAGCACTGGTGAGACATGCCTGGAGTGCAGGTGTGGTGCTGAGCTCCCCAGTACAAGAGTGATRTGGACATACTGGAGAAAGGCCAGCAAAGGGCCACAAATGTGATGGAGGTACCGGGGTGTCTTTCATATAAGGAAAAGCAGAAGGAGCTTGGACTGCTCAGCCTGGAGAAGAGAAGGCTCRGGAATCTTACCCATGTGAACACATACCTGATGGARGGAGTAGAGCAGATGGAGCCAGGCTTTTCTCAGTGGTGCTTGGTGATGAGGCAAGAGGCTCTGATCGCAGCCTGAAACACAGGAAATTCCATTTAAAGCTAAGAAAAATCCTTTTTACTCTGAGGATGATTAACACAAACCATGTTGCTTAGAGAGACTGTGGACCATCCTTGGTGATAATCAAAGCCCAGCTGGACACTATCCTGGGCAGCCTTCTGTAGCTGAGCCTGCTCTGAGCAGGGGGTTGCATTGGACTGTATCCAGATGTGCCTTCCAGCCTCAACTGTGACTGATGATGTGTTTTACCCTGTTTCCCCTCAAGTCACAACTAAATTTATTATTATTTTCTAAAGATTTTAGTAGTTGTTTTGCTTACAATGGGGAAGTTGAAGAGTTCTCTTCTGTAGCAGTATACTCAAAAAGGGGCAAAAGAGGGTTGGAGTCAGCAGAGGTACTGGTCAGCCAGAGCTTGTCAATCTAGTTAAAGAGCCCAGGTGAAGATGCAGTGGATAAAACTAGGGTTATATTTCTGTCYATTTAGTTCTTAGGAATTTTGATTTGTATGATTCTCAATGTGAGGTCATGTATTAGTCAGAAAAGAAAAAAAGATAGAGTCCAGAACCCTGTTGTATAGGTCCTGCCTAGGAGTGCTGTGTTTGACTGGGAGTTWGGAGTCAGCAGAGATGAACAATTCTGCAGTACTATGACAAAAAGGACTACATCCTTGGCASTGTAGGGAAGGAAGGAACAAATATAGCTGGGAGGAGACCTTTGTAGAGAGCTCATTAGTGAAAATGGTACTGAAAAATTCTAGTGTTCAAGAATAGCTTTCATTCTTATCTCTRTGCACTTTTTTAATAGAATCTAAAACACAAAGTACTTGTGTCCCAGAGAAAAAATGGTGGGACTTTTGTTTGTTTGTGGGTTTTGGTTTGGTTGCCTTTTCTGCTTCAGTGCAGTTAGTTTGTCCCAGGGAAACTGACTGATATGTAACTAAATGAATAAAAAATCAGGAAAAGCAAGGAAGGCCGAAAGGACTGCTAGGATGTATTAGGGAATGTTGAATTCATCTTTGTAGCTTGTCGAAATCTATTTGAATATACTATGTTTTTCAAATGATTGATCTACTGGAAGCCCTGTATAAGGGAGAAGGGAGGGAGACTGTAGTGAAAAGAAGTTGATTGAGGGGGATTAAAATCTGAGTAGTTCACTAAACACACATTTCCTCTTGCTTTCATTTGGTCATTTCTTTTTCTCTGAGACATATCCCATTAACAAATCACTTACTCTTGCCAGTTGAATCTGATAAACGACATGGTAAAGATTTTGCCCTGTGGAAGGCTGCCAAGCCTCAAGAGCTATCTTGGAATTCTCCCTGGGGAAAAGGAAGACCTGGATGGCACATTGAATGTTCCACAATATCAAGGTCAGATTTCTTGGATTTTARTAAATCTAATGCTATTTTTGRTTTTCATTCACAGTACAATGGTAGCAGTAATATTGAAGGTGTTTTCTGGTTAGTAGGCTGGTTTTAATCTGACCATTTTATGCAACTTGTGATGTCAAATGTGGCCCAAATAAACTCTTCTTCTCATTGCTGTTGCAGCTGTCTCTACGTTTTCACACCTTTTCTTGATTCAGACTTGGYACTTAAAATATGGCACACAGGATCACACACTTGATTAGTAGTCTTTTCACTTGAACTGAGTAACCAAAGGTTTGGTGAAAGTTGGGGTACCTCTTTCATTCACTTCCCTTCTACTTCCAGCAGCCTCCATCAGACAYAGTTCAGATGTAGTGCTGTGTCAGGAGTTCAGAGTATGGGATTCCRTCTTGATCTATATCTTAGCAGCTGCTGTGGATGTTTATCCTAGTAATCTAAGTATTATTCAGCTTTCTTGCTGAGTATTRTTTTGCTTACAGTTGTTTTGATGTAATTTAGTCCTAATTTAGGGTTTTRTTTTCACCACAGGAGAAAAATTTGTCTCTCCTGGAAGACTGATAGTGGTACTTAGTTTTGCATTARTCTCTCAACATTTTTTGGAAGCTAATAACAAATAGTTTAGATCCAACTCTGCTTAGCTTGAATTTTTGGCTAAAGCTGAAAGAAGGTGGAACCAGCTGCTTTAGGGTTTCTCTTTCACATGCTATTCTGGTTCACCTGGGATTGTTAGTCATTGCTACCTGCTTGAAAAGTGAAAAGTGTTTGTTAGGGTGATTTTCTATCTGTAAGTAGTTTCAGCATGGTGAGGCAGCTCTTAAAGCAATCAAAGTGCACAAAATCATGCTGTGTTTGATGTACAACCTGTGCAGAAGTGCACAGATAAGAAACGCCAGTTACGAAATGACCTGTCTGCTAATGCAGTGCTGTTTATTGTCTGCATTTCTTTCTGTAAAAATATATTTTACTGAGGTTGGATCAGACTCCTGCCATTTAAATAAAAGCTGACCCAGGGAGAGCATAAGTGTAGTGTCTTGGACTGTGAAAAATGGAGAAGTTACTTTGGTAAGTAAGTCACCTAAACCAAGTTGCTGTCCCAGTCAGCTGTCCAAGGCCCATTTTAAGCAATACTTACTTAGCTATCTGTTTTGCCAAGTATCTCAAAATACTTTAACTAAGTTAGGTGAATTAATTTTGAAAAGTCTGTGAAGGTGAATGAGGAGTGTGGTTTCTAGAGCAGCCCTGGAGGAGGGAATCCCTTGCTTTGACTCCCTCAGGTTTGATCTTGTCTCTGCAGTTTCCTTTATGGTGGGCTGGGCTGCTTCTCCTGTCCCTGAGTGTTTGGCTGATCCATCTGTCAGCTCTCTCCAGCTCTTTATGGTTTTGTTGGAGGAATCAGGAAGTGCTCCTCTATAGGTGGCACAAGGGAAGGTTAGAGTCAGTCCTGGGAAGATTTGTGCTTTAGCTGGTTTTGAAGCAGGCAGAAGCAGAGAAAGATGAAGTTGGGACATGGTGACAGCCCCTCTTTCTTCCCTCCTCTCTTGTTCTCCTTTTCTTTTTGTCCTGTGCCCCAGCAGCTTCTTCAAAGCCATCATGTTTTGTCTCAAAAAGGTACCAAAGTATCAATATTGAGCCTCATCTACCAGGAGCAACTTGTTAAGATGATATGTGTGTATTTGTAGACCTTGCATTTTCCCCTGCTTGAGCACTCCTGGTTTCTGGGCAGTTAACGTTGACTTAGATCACTGTGAGGCTGAAAGTGTAACCTTTGTTTAACAGATAGGGAAAATAAAGTTGCTAACCTGCCCGTTTGACCTCCCTGCACACAGCTTTGTYTGAATTCTTACAGAAAAGGTACAAGATAAGCAATGGTAATAGCAAATTTACAGAAATCTTYGCTGTTTCAAAGTTGTTAGGTTTGCAGATAAAGGCACCTGTCTCATATTGAAACTGTAGCTGAACAAGGCAAGGAGACATCCTCCTTGCCATCTTTTCAAGTAAGGTAGMAAAATAATTGCTTCTGCTAAGGAGAATATGGGTCCTGTCCATACAAGTTCTGCTGCAGTTTTGGTATCCAAGATATGTGTAAAGTCTTGTTTTAAAACTGCGATTATTAAACYGTATGCTTACATTTATGTTGTTTCATCTTATTTTTTTCTGCATYTCTTTTTACAAAAAGCTTTTGTGGTGTTCTACTTACCGATCAGGAAAATATTGTTACAGTGCAGTGTTTGGAAAACAGCTGGACATCCATACCGGTGGAATAGATCTTGCATTTCCTCATCATGAAAATGAAATTGCACAGTGTGAGGTGTATCATCAGTGTGAGCAATGGGGGAATTACTTTTGGCATTCTGGTAAGTAAAATATTGATCACCTGAGAGGCCTGTACAAATACAACACTTTGGATTTTTAGGTTTGGCATTTTATGCTGTGAAAACATGTTACCCTCCTGGCATTATGTAGCACTGCTCCTTGCTCCCTCTGCRCAAAAGTGCTTCATTCAGTGAAGTTTGTGCTGTACAGTGCTTTGAACTGCATAATTGTCTGATGGTTCTAGTGCTGTTCCATTGATGGAAACCTTGACATTTGTTCTTCCTGTTGCAATCATGGTGGTTCTGGATGGACAGCTGAAGTCAATAGAAAGTCACATTAAGTCTGCAGCCTTTCTTTTGCTGATCAGTATTTTGGGCAGCATATCTTTGTGAACTCTTGGAGCTGCTTCTCTGAGTAGAAGAGCTGCAGAGTTAAGGCTGTGGTCCACTCTGGGAATTACATKAGCTTTTATTTTTATATATTTGTACTGTATGGGATGAATATTGAATTCTAGTTTCAGATCCCAGCGTAGAGCCTGTTCTAAATCAGTAACAATTGTCCAGAGGCTGGTGCATGCTCCAGRGTGTCCTTTGTTCCTGAGGTGCTGCAGAATCCTCTGCACTTCCACTGAGATGCACTGGTTACTGCCAAGTGGAGCCTTCTGTTGAAAACCAGTGAGTCTAGCTTTTCAAATTTGGAACTGAAACTGTAGGGGAAATATTTTTTGATACTAGCTAAATAAAGAGTAGTCAATTAAAAAAAAAAAAAAAAAAGGAAGAACTTAATTCCAAGGGCAATTTGTACACTTAGGTTCTCTAGGAGTTGACAGATTACATTCATTAAGTCAAAAAATCTTGCTGGAGGATGATGGTATGAATTATTTAGGGCAAATGAATCAGCTTCAGAAACAATTTATTCTGCTAACAGACTTCAGAATTTTAGCAGCTCAGAATTGGAAGAGCAATCCCCATTAGAGGAAGAAAATCCCTGCACTGGGGATAAATCTTATAAGGACTTTATTTTTAGACTACTTGTACTCTGGGAAGAGCGCCAAACCGAAGTTATGAAAATCCTTGTATTTTGTCTTCTTGAATGAAATCATTCTAAGTACTGAAACTCTTGGAAGAGGAATATTAATKCAAATTCAGATGTTACCAGTACCTTTTTAGGAAAACACAACCCAGCTATTTTAAGCTTGGCTGCCTGAAGTTAAGTAAGTTAATATTTAGGTACCTTTGCAAAAGAGAAAAAGTAATCCTACCCATGCTCTTCCCCTTCTCCCAGGAGAATTTTGGCTGTGGGTTTTAGTTGAGTCACAAGAGCTGCAGGTGGCCAGTTGTATCTGTCAGCCTGAATTCGTGTATTGATTGTTCCAAGTTTAACAATTCCGTGGTGAAAGTGGCCTCACCTGCTAGCACACAGGACAGATACAATAAAAGCCAGGATTTTTTAAATCATGGATAGCTGCTGTAGCTGATTCTGCATACTTTGATTTTTTGATTCATTCCTACTCTCCACCGAGTGTATTGTGCAAAATTCAATTTTAAGGTGGTCAGGGTAGGACTGGAGGTAGCCTTCTCATGGTGACTCCCTGCTGCTTTGAGTCATTGTCAGAAATAGCTGAGAAGGCAAACCATGAGCTTTTCAGGTCCAGTTGTCAGGTCTGAGCTTGTTGCTTTCATATCCAGAAGAGTGTAATGGGGATTTTATGCACTTGTGGAAGCGACTGAGTTCCAGGCAAGGCTGAAAAGTTCTGTGCAGTGAGTAGCACAAGWTGCAGATAGCTGCATGGGCTGCTGAGCAAGAAATGCCACTTCTGCCACCACCCATAAAAGCAGGAGCACGATCAAACATTGTCCTTGTGGAACACTCTGAGGCACTCGTAATGCTGGGCTGCCAAATGTGAAAGAATGCAGTGCTGGTAGGGTATTACAGAGCAAGGAAAGTTTATGCTTAAAAATCTGCCTCAAAGTATGATTTAAGTGCTGGATGCTGCAGGTCACAGAAGTGCCTAAAAATCCCATGTTAATTGTGGGTGGTCGGTAACTTACAGAATTACTCCTTTATTAGGAGAAGCCTATTAAGGCTTTTRACAGCATTTCTGAAATTATGCTGAGTAGTCTTTCAGTGGCAGCATGATTGGCATCTCTCTGGTGCTGTGACTAATTGGTGTTTTCCGTCAGCAGTGGTGCCATGGCTCGCATGGATGAGATCTGGAGGCAGGCAACCTCAGGCTATATGTCTCCTGTCTGTCTTCCACAGAGCTTTCAGTCCTGAAGCCAAGCTCTACACACTCTCTTAAATGTGGTCTTACTACCTTTTTCCTCTGCCACAGCCTTGCAAAGCAGTGGTTCACGTGACTATTGAAAGTTCTAGCAGTGCTCAGTGATCACATTTAAAAATAAACTAATTCAAATTAGGCATTGTAGTTGCATCTATCCCTCCCCCTGCTTTTTCTCAGTCTCACAAGTCTGGAAAAATTGAGAATGTGCAGAAAATTCATTTTACATTTCAGATATTTTGAACCAGCACTATAAAATGGAGTAAAAAAAAAGTGTTAACAGGCACTGGCAAGTAATAAGTGCAGAAGATTGAGTTTTAAGGATTTTTTAATGTGAGATCACTGAGAAGTATTTCTTAAAATATTTCTGAGAAGTGAAGAGTAACAGGTACRGTATTTTTCCTGTGAAGACTGAAACTATTTGCTTGCTTGTTTTTATCAGTTTATAATAAAGTCTGAGCAGGGCGACTCATGGTGGTGGTGGGTATTTTTGATTTTTAATGTTTTCAGTGTCTGAATTTTAAAACTCAYCCAGTGGAAGTTTTGAGGATGGAGAGGTGTGCAGAAGTGTAGGCAAAGCTATTGAAAAACGTTACTCATTGTAYTGAAATGGTTGGCATGTATCCATCATAGCATATGCTGCCGCCAGCATTTCCAGTGTCTCAGTGCATTCTTGCTCATTTGCTCCCTATTCAGAAGCACACTTGTTAATCCTGATTAATTTTTTTTTTTTTTACTATAGGGCATTTGCATGTTAAAGGAAGTCAAGAAAAAATGTCAAAGTCATTAAAAAACTACATAACAATTAAGGTAATTTCTTTGTTTGAATTGAAGCAATGAGTGTTTGTAATATGTAAATATTAATCACAGCCCTCTTTTGAGAAAACTTTGGAGTGTGTGCTTATGCTGCAGTGAAARACCTGCAGTGTTTCTCTAGTACTGATGTGTCTGTTATTGTTGATCTGAAYGTAGGATACCTGCTCAAGTCAGTGTTTGTTTATAACGATGGATCTGCTGAGCTGAGAGTATTTGTAGGAGTAGAGTTTGTGCCCAGTACCAGAATCCTGCACTATGGGTTGGTGGTTGTACTCAACAGTCTCAGGTTTTTTTTTCCATTCTGAATGATTTCTGTTCTGTAGTGATGGCTTTTCATCTGTCTGTTCTTAGTAGTGCATGTGCTTTGAAAAAGCATAGACTTGGAAAAGAGTGGATGTTTTATCTTGTCCTTCTTTAGGTGAAATGGGACACAGTGTCAGCGTTTTGTCAGGAAGCTGCTGTTCATCCTGAACCACGCTATTGCAGCAGTCTCTCCCATTAGCCTTTATTTTTATATGGTGGCCTTGCTTATGCGCAGAGAGCTTTGCCTTTTGATACCCATGAGCCACGTGACTATTTTACTGTGTCCCCAAGTATTTGGTGTGGCCCAGAGCAGGGTTTCTCTGCCAGGCGTGTGTGATACAGCTGTGCTTGGTGCTGGGGTGGCTCCTGTGATGGCTGATGGCTATTGCCACAATAGGGTGATTTCCTTCCATTAGACAAAACTTGGGAAGCTGCTTCGGCACATGTTCCCTTTGCCCTCTTGGAAGCCTTAATTAAAATCTCTTTAAAAAGAAGTTCAATATGAGCTGCTTTATTCTTAAGTCTTCTGATGCTGTCTGGGTACAGTTAAGCCCTGTTTCCCTGGAGCTCACCATTTTCACAGAAATCTCATGAGTCTCAGCAGATGTTGTGGACAAGGTGGAGAATAGACTGCAAATGCAGCACATGGAGTTAAAACCAACACGTAAAAATGTTCTCCATGTCCCCCATGATAGGACAGCTTGTGTGGAGGAAACRGACTTCAGGGCTGTCTCTCTTTCCTTGTGGGTCTCTGCTTTTCTTGTCAGCCTTACACACAGCTAAGAAGTATTAATTCTTCCCAGGAAGCAATTTTCAGTGCAGTGAAACACTTTTCTCCTGTACAGTCGCTTTGCACCTTCAAAGTTAAGCCCTGCATGGAAGGTTTTATGCCTGTGCCAAAAGAGGGGAGGTCTGTCCCGGATCTTCCCTTGGTCTGGCTGGTGGCCACCTGCATCCCAGGCTGTCACCTGGGCCCAGCAGCCCTGCATCCTCTGCATCAGCTGCCCTGTTTTCCCTTCCCCTTGTACCTTACTCCAACTTCTTCTTTCCTTTTTTAAAATAGCTAATAATTCTGASCCCCAAAATCGAAGAGATTGTGGTTACAGAGGGCCAAGCAACCTGCTTTCAAAGAGCTGTGATACTTGATCTGTTCTCTGTTTTTAATGAAATGCAGAGTTGTTTTTTCTAGTTTGGATGGTCTTTTCCCAAATTTGAATTTATTTCTGTACTTTACTCATACTTTCTACCTCTAGATATTAATGTAAAGCTTCTGGGCACATTGGCTACACTCATTTATATACAGTTTATTTTAAAARCCCACAACAAACTCACCAATACAATCAGTATCACTGTTCCTTAATTTTGGTTGCCTCAGTTATTTCTGTTTTCCTTTGAGAGACAGCACATTGCTGATGCTCTTTTCAGCATTCAGGCTGGTTTAGTCTTGTAGCAGAAGCCTTATTTCAAAATGTGAAATTACATTTTCTGTGTTTTCTCACTTGTACTTCCTTACGATTTTTGATTTTTGTGGCACTTCATTGATCATCACTAGTTTGCATTAAAAAAAAAAGTGGAAGTGCACTACTCACAGTCAAATCTACCACAGTGTCCAGCCTTGCTGAGAGCTGGGTTGGAAATGATGGAATGTTTTGTCAGTGTACCTTCCAAACATTGGAATAGTTCTTTATATTATTATTATAAATTACCTGTACAAGTAGTAAGATTAATAATTTACTATTTACTGGAGTAAATGATTAGTAAGGCTAGATAAATATTAGAGTGCAGTTTATTAGGCTTCATGATTAACACATAACTTTTTTTATATTGGTAGGATTTATCTTTGTTCACTCTCTGTGTTTCTTCGTATTCTTGTCGTGCAGAAAAAGTACACTTACTTTATTTTACAATAAGTCTTTTTTTTTTCTTTTGTAAAGTTTGCAAAACTCAGGTGCTTTCCTTGCTGTAAGATTATATCCCAATCTTAATCTGATAATTTAATTTAGGGGATTTTCTGCAAACATCTTTATACAGTGCGTGTTTGATCGTAATTGCAAAGTAATTTTCACTTGCTTATATTTGAAATCATGTGTATATTTATATCTAGTAGATATGTATGCATGTCTGTCATATGAAATTGAATTTTATTTAGTTTTGGTTTAAAGCAGTGTTAGAGTTTAAAGATTTTGTACYTGTCTTAAACTGCAAGGATGTGTTATTTGTCATGTTAGTTTGTCTGGAGTGCAAGGGTTTGGAAGAGCTCCTGAAGAAATTGATACCATGCTAAAGCTGTCTTTTTGTGCATGGAGTTTAGGATTTCCTGAAGAAATGTTCATCAGATCAATTCAGAATGTTTTGTTTGCGTGGCAGATACAGCTCAGGTAAGAACAAGCCCCTGCTTTGCTGAGGTGTGCTTGGCTTTCCACACTCACATCCCAGCTGGGGATGCGGAGGCGGAGTGAGCTCTCCCTGCAGGGTGTGCAGTTCCCCTCCAGCGGGTGCAAAGCTTTGGGTGGTGCTCTGTGGGGCTGCTCTTTGGCTCACATTTAGAAAATTGTCTCTGCYGAGCACAGCACATAACCATTCATCTAAATACCTTCCTGAGCTGCAGTTATTTGCGACTCTCAGTTAATTGCACTTTTAATTAACGAATTACCTCTGTCTCTGATTTGCATCTGTTGCAGTTACTTGTATTGCAGTCATGATCAGCTGGTTTTGGAGACATATCTAGATGGAGCTTTGGCTTCTATTCCTGTAGGATGTGATAAGGGCTGGCTAATAATTTTTCATCTCCCTGCTGTGTTACCATTTTTGTCCTGTGGAGTTCCTTAATGTTCAGGCAGTTCTGTGGTGCGGTGCAGCTCGCTTACAACAGCACATTGTTYACCTAGTTGTTTTTTCTAGTTTGGATGGTCTTTTCCCAAATTTGAATTTATTTCTGTAGTTTACTCATACTGTTCTACCTCTGGATATTAGTATAAAGCTWCTGGGCACATTGGCTACACTCATTTATATACAGTTTATTTTAAAAACCCACAACAAACAAACACCCACCAAAACAATCAGTATCACAGTTCTTGATGCCTAATGATCATCTTGGCCTGGCAGATCATCTCCCTGCTGGTGGGGAGAGGTGTGGGAGATTTTGTCAGCTTCTCTGTCTACCCCATGGTGTTTCCAGCAGGTAGATGCTACTTTGAGCCGGATGAAGTTTTCCTATGTCTGGTGTTTTCACCAGTTATTGGGTCCTTCCAAAAACAGTGGTAGTTCCTTAACCACAGCTGGGTTGCTTGGCTTGTTGGCTGTCCTGGCATGGCAAAGGAATGGTGGAGCACAGGGCAGCAGCTGCTGTGGTATTTCAGTGGGACTCTAGCTGCCTTGGATAAAGCACCTGCAGCAGTGTGMCTGGGAGAGCTGGTGTGGTCAAGGCTCTGACATTGGATGGAGAAGTCTTTCTGCTTTTTAATACCTCTAGCTGCTTGCAGGAGCCACCCATGGGATGTTCCTAGTGGATCCTCCCTCTCCTMGGACAGCTGAAGACATCAGGAATGCAATGTATCCCTTCAATATTTCAAAGCATGGGATAGTAAAAAGATACAGTGGTTATTAAATTCCAGCCTTCACAATAATAGGAAGAGAGGAGTGCATCCAGCTGTGAGCTCTGCTGCAGAACAGCATCCTGTTTGAGGCAGGCAGTGGGTTGGTGCCATGGCTGGCTGTTTTGGGATGGTGCTGCAGGGCAATGGCACACTTGGCTGTTTCCCATTCTATCAGGAGATGAAGTACCTTTTGTGTACTTAAGTGTCTCTCTGGCTGGGGGCACTTGGGAGTCTTGAACAAATGTGTGTGTAAAACAAAAGRAAAAAAGGCTAACACCTACTGCAGWATCATATTTATGTTTGTCATGTAAACAAAAGCTAAATRTCTGGTAGTTTCCAAATTTGCCTTGGGGCAAGGAATGGCACTGGAACCCTGCAGCAGAAGGCTGCCTGCAGGCTWTCTTCACTCCCTGTCAGCTGGCTGCATTTGAACCTTTGCTTTTTGCATTACTTCTAGGATAAACACCTTCCTGAGGTAAAAAAACAAGTGCTAGCTGTGTAGATGTGGGTGGCTTTGATGAAAGGATATGGTGGAGTTATATCAGARTATAGTGCCAGGAAGCCAGCTGGCAGGTAAGGGCTGCTCCAAAGTCTGCCATCTCCACCTTATAAGGCTGTGTGCATTAACTTCCCAGTAAAGAGCCAGTCAGTCCCTGCTGAGCCAGGTATTTACTGTGCTGCCTGTCAGCTTGTGTCCCTGCTATCAATTCACTTTGGTCTAAGGATAAGTTTATTGCCCTTCTTCTTGTCTTCCTTTCTGCTCCTAAATATTTTTATTAGAAGTGAGATACCAAGCAGTTTCTGTTTTTTTTCTTAAAAGGTTTTTATAGCCTAGACCTGTGGGTGATGGTTCCTGCCATCCCTGCCCTCCTAAGGAAAGCCTTTTCTAAAATCCAGGTTTGGGTTGAGGTRGTAGTCATTGGATTGACCCTCCAAAAGATCTTTTAGACACGTGAATGAGGGCAGCACCTGACAGCTTGGARTAGCTCATGGTTGATACTGTGGTTTCTTGGGCTTGGAGCAGGCCTTTTTTATTGTCTGGCTACTCCCATCTCTGTGTGTGCTGACAGGGACAAACAGGGCAAACAGGGACAAACGTGACTCCAGACTGTGTGTGCTGATGGGCACAAATAGGGACAAACGTGACTCCAGACTGTGTGTGCTGACGGGCACAAATAGGGACAAACATAACTCCAGACTGCCCAGCATTGGAGGGGCGAGGGATGGAGGGGTGTGTGCAGGGAGGTGCATGTGTTTCATGGGAGTGGAATCCCCTCCTGTGATGGTCCTTGTCAGAGGGAGGATAAAGSTGGATGCCTTGCTTGTGGGGAAGAGGAGAAAAGTCAAAGAGGCTTTGATCACCCTTCCATGATGTGTTTCTGCATTGCCCTCTCTGCCTGCTCAGGCTGATGGGGTAGAACTGCTCAGGATGCAGCTGAGCTCTGGGGGCAGTGGTGATTATCTGGGCTTTTTGCTTTGGCTGATGCCTCTGGCTGTTCCTTCTTTGCCTGAATCACCATCCTGTGGCATACCTGAGGCTGTTGGGAAAATGGTTCCTAGGTACCCTAGGGAGCAGCAGGGTGACCCTGCTGCTTCTGGGTGCAGCTTGAAAGGAGAGGTGCCAGCTCTGAAGGGACCCAGCTCTGTGGGACCCTGTTGTGAGGCAGCACTTCCCTCTTACATCTCATCAGCAGTGAAGGGGAGGGAGTGTGAGCCCTGCCACAGACAGTGTGGTTCTGTCTCCAGAGCACTCTCCTGGTCACCAGAAATGCTCTGGTGATTTTGTGAACCTGAATGAACTGCAATATTTTCACCTCTCTGGTGTGTAATTACTTGTTGGTGCTAATAAAAAAAAAATGTGTTTTAGTTTGATGATGCATTGATGATGCYCTTGATGGCAAAGGAGGGAAGGAGTAGGGAGTACAATGAAGGTTTATAGGGCCGGGCTTGCTTGTGCTGTGCTGTGGGTTTGTAGTGCCTCCTGGTTTAGGAGTATKCCCTGAATTTGGGTGAAGAATGGCTTGAATCAAAGTAGACTTCMTCAGGATAAACTTCTATCAAATATTCCTTGCAGAATTCTTGTAACCAGGTTAATCAATTCAGTAATCCTAGTGTATATAAATGACCTCTCTCAGTGTYTCACTGTGTTACAGAAGTCTGTACATTGGTCTTTTTGAAAACTGRGAAAAGCTTAATTTTAAAACCTGCATTAATGAGGTAGCAATGCGGATTTTTGATGACACACAAGTGAAAAATCTAACAAACAGAGGTCCAGACTTATGCCTTTGTTACGCTGAGGTAAATCCTGTGGAAAGTCTGTTTAAATGGTTAGGCTTCCTTGGGATTTAGGCTAATGGAACTGAGATCGGATCTCACATCTGGCTGCTTTTGCCCTCAAATCTGTCTGCTCTTAAGAGTCTGTGTCTGGGGAGCATTGGGTAATTCTAAAAGGAGTCAGGTGTAACATGAGCAGGACCAGATGTGAGATTCCTTTGGAAACTATGGGTGATGCACAGCGCTGCTGAGCTTAGGAATAGCTGGAGGCTGTAGTTTGGATGTACCTTAATGCAGAGGTCAGGTGTACAACAGTGAAATATTGCAGTGGCTGTGAATGGCTCTGACGTGCCATTGGGGGAAGGAATGCGTTCAGACTTAGTCCTGTCCTGGGTGGACACAACTTCCATTGAAAGGTGAGCTATTCTGTGTGGGGTCCAAGAGCTCTTCTACAGAAAATTACACATTATTGTACAGATAAAAAAAAAAGCCTCTCTCTCACTGATAGCAAAWCCCAGTAAAAGTGACAGGGAGCTAATCTGGCACCTGCACTTCTGAGGGTGCAGGGAAGGCRAGAAGAGCCTGCTGAACTCCTGCCWGCAYCAGTTGATGCTGGGTAGTTCCCAAATTGAAATTGCCTGCCAAAGCTGGAGTCCCCCTGAATGCAGTGGGATGTCCATGTGCATGGATGCCTTGTTAGTGGTGAGGCTAATGCTGTTTCTGCAGCTGGTGGAAGGTTAGCACTATAGGCTTCCTGTACAGCACATTTCATCAAAAAGCAGAGCTCTGCTTTGAAGGCAAGGAATCATTTACCTTGTGGTTTTATCTTTCTTYTCAGTGATCATAAGAGACTTTGATRTGTGTGAGTGACRRATCCCACCCCAGACATGTCCYTATGAGTTTAAGCAATTTGTATTTTCTCTAAAAATAGGTTTCTCAAAATGATATGGTCAATTTAGCTTTGATATTGYGAGGGAATTGTTCAAGAGCTAGACCACAAGATTTTAGGTTCATCTAGATTTTAGATGTTGGTGAAGCAGCCCTTTAGACAGAGTCAGTGGTGAGGGTTAGGCCTCTTTAGAGGTCTCCAAATATGGGTTGTGTCTGCTAAATTAGAATAGGCACAAAATTAAAGGTAGGTATTGCTGTCTCAAATCTAGGGGAATGCTTAGAAGTATATTGAATCCTAATGCTTTGTGTTGATAACTATGCAGAGAGATTCAGTAATGGAAAAAAAAAATTAAAGTCAAATAGTGATTGCTTCAGTAAACTTCCAGATTGAAGTTTCTGAATTGGTTTGATACCTTTTCCGAAAGGTTATACTTTGCCATATGTAGTGATTGTCTTTTATTTAATTCACCTAGTGTGCATGAAGAAGGGGGCTTTTAATTAAATGTGCAATTAATTGTAAGAAGTTTGCTATACAAATAATAACAAACTTTTCCTTTGTCTCCAAATACTGTTCCTGTRTATGACAGACAACATTCTCTCCACCATAATGTCTTAATTTCTTTTTTTTTTTTGTAGCCGTAGAATTTAGTGAGGAGAGCATGGATGATGCAAAGAACCTTCTTCAGGCAATCTCCTCATTTATTAGAGATGCAAATGCTTATATAAAAGGACAGCTGGTGTGTGACCCTGTTAGAGAAGATATACTGTGGGAAAGGTAAGTGCACCTTCTGTATTTTAAAAGATTGTGATTATGTGAGCAGTAGTTTGCTGACAGACTCAGAGGTTCAGTTTATGAAGCAGGACAAGAAGAAGCAGCAGTCTTCCCTCCCAGCTCTCACCAAGGGCCGCTTTTTTTTTTAACTCTCTTTTTAGCCAGCTCCTTTTCCTCATAGTCTGCTACAATCAGTTCATTGTGTTTTTAAATTGTGTGTTATTTATCTAGTGTGCCTGCCCTAACACAGGCATCTTTGCCCCTTGTGAGCCGTGTGGGAGGCAAAGCTATGGCARTTGTGAGGCTCCCCAGTTCATAAGTAGAGCTGGGCATTAGTGACTGGAGAAGAAGGGGGATGACTGCAGTCACATGCCTTGGGCACTGGCACTGTGGTGTGCAGCAGAGGAGAGAAGGGGCTACTGAGAGATTGGCCATGGGTAGGGATTTCACAGGGAAGGAAGATATTAGTCGTTGTGACCCTGACAATGGTGAGGAGAATCCTATGGARTCCATTACGAAAACCAGATCATCTTCAGGATTGAGATGTGCTGTGTGTCAGGTGCAAAGCTGAGAGCAGGAGCGTGGTGCTCTAGAGTCAGGGTAGGAGGGGCACTGAGTGCCCTGAAGCAASGTTAGTGCAGGCAGCTCTGGGCCATAGAATCAAAGGGGAGAAGGTCTGTGCTGTGCAGGTGAGAGGCAGCTTCCCTGTGGCTCAGACACCTCACTGTTGGGAAGCTTGTGACTGTACTGACTGAGGGCTGCAAGGGGCACTGGCACATGTTACRGGGAACTGGAGTTGAATTAACTAGCTGTGGTGTTTGGCAAAAGCAAATCCTTCAGCAGGAGGCTGCAGGAGATCTGTTGGTGTGAGATAAAGCTGAGAGGCRTGAGGAAGTTGAAATGGATAGTCAGTAGGGGATGTGTGGGAGGGCACAACTTGTGTTTCCCGAGGTGTAAAAACAACCAAAATGAAACAAAGCTCTTAATTAGCCAAGTGTGAAGAGGGGGAAGCTTGCAGGGAAGAGTGTTGGAAGGAATGAATTARGACAGCAGCCATCCGGTATCTGAGGGGAGGTAGGCATCCCAGGCAAAACCATTCACAAACAGACAGAATGAGGCTCAGAGATGGGAGAGACCCAGAGGTATGAGGATAGCCTCAGGTTCCCCAGCTAACCCTGCTCCTTGAGCTCTGTTGGGCAATGGCATCCTTGGGTCAGCGCTGCAGGGCTCTGGTTCTCCTGGCTAGGAGCGTGTAGAGGAGCACGCTGCCAGCAGCAGTTTGTAGCTCCCTGTTTGTTCCTACTGCTCTCCTCATCTCCCTGCCCAAGTGGCTGCAGCTGATGGCACTGGTGGCACTGGTGGCACTGGCTCTGCAGTCATCAGTTGCCTGCTGGCTGTTGGCGCTGTTATACACAGATGGTCCCACTGGACCTTTCCATCTGGGCCATGGTGAATAGAATCCCTTGGGATTGCAATTGGGCTCTCCCGGGAAATTAGGAAGTACTTGGTTCTGAGTTGGATCCTGACAGCAGGATTCTTGGCCAGCCCCAGGACAGCTTTTTTGCCAGGCACTGGAGTGCTGCCTGTGACGTGGCTTTGGAAGAGAAGGATGCTGTTCGCATGATAAATGGGCTGCTGAGAAAAAAAATGGAACTCAGCAAGATCCTTGATGTGCTTAGTATCAGCCTCATTTTCTGTCTGTTTTTGAATGATTAAGGCAAACTTTGCTCTGTTGTTGTTGGCCCGTCTGATTAACCGTGTATATTTATTGAATGGATGTAACACTTAGGATTTTGACATGCATCAAGATTTTCCCTTCACAGCTGAAAGATCTATTCTCCCTGATCAGTGTAGCACTGCCCATCACAGGACAGCTGGGAAGGAGATGGCAGTGTCCTTTCAATGACTCCCTCTGGCTGAATAGCTGATGAATTCAGCATACTGCTGGCATCTTGTTTGTCTTATCTTAAATGTTACCTTTTCTTCTTGAAGGCTAGCCAACACAAAAGTAACTGTGAAGGCTGCGTTTGCAGATGACTTTGACACCTCCAGGGCTGTTGCAGCAATTATGGACCTCATTCACCATGGCAACAGACAGCTTAAGGCTGTTACTAAGGTAACCCATTAGGATACAGAGATCAGAAAATGACAGCTGTCCACTGTCCTACTGCTTAATGCAGACAGATTAGTTTATTGTTCACATAAGAAACCAGCAGAAACAAAGCTCTATAAATTGTTGACCTTAATGGAGCCCATTTGTTCTGACCCTATCACAGGAATTGTGCATGGCTATTGTTTTGTGCTTCGTATGTCCAGAGGATATTTCTTTCCTGCTGCCCTGTATTATTTATACCTAAGGTTTTTGAAAGGCCTGAAGCTTTTGTGACACGCTGTTAATTTTAATGCTGGTTCTGTGTTTTTACCCTGCTGCTTTGCTTAATATCCATGCACAGAAATTAAGCCCATTGGGAAGTGGTGGTGGAGGGGGGGATAGTTTCTGCAGGGGCTTTGGCCRGCAGCCCCAGGTGCACTGGGCAGTCATGGTGGCGAGTTCAGTGGTAGGGACTGAGTGGCTTCTGCTGTCAGCAGACTGAAACTGTGGCATCAGCATTCCTGCATGAGTCTGTCTTCAGATGGCTTTTGGCAAATTAAGATCCAATTAAGATCTCTCATGCTGACAAAAAGAAAGCATCTGGTAAGGACAAGACTTGAAAAATAAACACAGTCTGAAGCACTTCTGGATTCTGTATTTACCAGCAGCTCCCTTTGTCACTCAAGGAGAGCACCTCAGCCGTGATGCTGTGCTCCTGGAGTGCTGGTGCCATCATGTTCACCATGTTTGTATAGTAAAATGTAATGGTAATAACTGGTTTTAAGAGAGAACTAGCCTGTCAGTTTAGAAATCCTTCCTCCCATCCTGTTTTGGCATTGGCTTTAAATTCTGTCCTTAGCCTTATCTTTACAAAATGACACTCTGAGTGAATCCCTGACCTGAAGCACTTTGCATCAGGGGTCTGTAATGGCGTTACCACTCCTAGATACAAGTATCCCCCATTTTGTCAATCCCTGCTTTTTCCCCTGAATTTCCCTGTCATTTTGTTGAGAATGGGATGGGGTTTGTTTGGGGCAGTTGACTTGGATTTCTGGTTGGGGTGGTGGAGCTTTTCTGGGTACAGCCCAGCTGTCTGGAGTGTTCCCTCTTTCTGGCTGTGAGTGTAGTTTTTCCCCTTAAGAACTGTGAGTAAATCCACATAACTACTTATTCCTGTCTTTAACCTTCATGCTGTTCTTATGTTGGATTGCACACTCCTGTTCCTTTCTCTCAGTGGCCTGCTCCAGCTCCTCCCCATTTAGATCTTCCTATACATTTAGACTATGGCTTATCTCAGGCCTGATGAAGATGTCAGATACAACCCAGTACCAGCTGCTGATTTGCTTGTGTATGTCATCACTCTTATTTTTTAGGCAAGGGTTAGTCCCTTAAATTGCTTCTCAATCTGTCACTTAATCCTTGTTGCTGCTGATGATGGTTGCTGCTGCTACCAGGGCATGACAAAATGCCATACACTATCTCAGAGCAGTCTCCACATGGATCAAATCAATGAGATACTCAAAGAACTATTTTTTAAAAGTATTTTTTGTTATAGGTGCTCATGAATCTGGGATTTTGTTCTTTTTATTTTGTTTCCATACACGCAGCCCTTTCATGCCCAGAAGTGCTATTTTTAGCTCTAATTTACTGCACACATGTAATGCATGGCTGCTTCACACATCTCTTCTCGCTGTGCAGGGTGGTGATAAGCTCTTCCCTTCCCTCGTTCACTTAAATCCCTTCCCTTTGTTCTGTGAGGTGCTGTTATATCTCTGTAAGATTGCCTGTCTGGGCAGGTGTTCCTATGGAGGTAGATCCATATAATTAGTAATAGTTTTCCCTTGTGGACTAGGCTACAGAGAGTTGCTGGTTCTGTAATATATATTGACTGGACAATCTCTTTTGAGTGTTTTCTAACAGGATGCTGGATCTCCTAGAAGCTCTGTTGTGTATGGAAGCATTATTTCCTATATAGAAGGCTTTTTCAATGCCCTTGGGATGTCCTTTGGAGATAGACAGGTAATGAAATACCTCTTCTATGTGCTCTAATATATGGTAGCAGGCACCGTGTTACATTTCGCAGAATGCTTTCTGAAAGCTTCAGTTGTAACAAATTTATGGTTTTAGTAAACCTTTCTGCACCACTTGCAGTTTTCTCCTGTGATGTTTTAGGAGAGCATGTGAGCAGGTGGAACAAAGTGTGAGCTTTTCAGTTCTTGCAGATACTCCTATGTGACTTCTGCACCCATTGTGCTGTGGAAATGAAAGACTCAGGAATGAAACAAGAAGAAGTGAGCTTTGGAGGCCTTCAAATTGTCCTGTTATGTGTCTGGTTTTTCCTGTTATGTGTCTGCTTTTCCTGTTCTTCCTAATGGTTGCATCCAGGCTGGCTTTGATAGCTGTGCAAGTATTTGCAGTTGGGAGGGGTCCCACTCCTCTGCAGGAAGCCAGGGAAAGGGGCTGCTCTGCCTTGAGCCATGGTGGGGTATGGGGAGGGGAGTACAATGAGTTGGGGATAGGGCCATTACATAACTAATTTTTGGAAAGACAGGAATGGGGAGAGGAAAAAAAGGAGACAAAAGCTCAAAGCCAGAGTACTGAACTGGAAAGAGAGTCATCAGTATAAAGGTGATATCCTGATGTATGGAAGGGGAGCATGATGTGTTGGAGAACAGCAGAGAATTTGCTTCTCTCCTGCTCAGATATGGAGCTAAATGCAAAGAAGTGAAAAACTTTCTGCAGAGAAACTGTTCTGCACAAATTTGTTATGGGGAGGGGGAGAAGAGAATAAGAAAATGTAAACAGCATTATCCCTCCTTTGAAAATCAGGCACTATGGCTACAGTGTACAACTAAATGCATTTATTTAGTTTGCCTTCATGGATTTTCTCATGGATTTTCAAAACAGTGGCTGGAATGTGATTTGGCTGTGTATTACCCCTCATAGCCTGTGGTTTGCATGTTAATTTTTAGTGGCATACTAAATGCTTAAATTGTAAGTTGGATGACACAGTCATTCCTCTAGCCTCTGGGCCATCTGTATGCAGGTGTCTGCTGCACCTACATTTTTGCTGAAACAAGTATCTGAATGCTTTTCTGTGTTGTAGGCTGTGCTAGTCCCTTTCTCTGTGGCAGAAGGATCAGCAGAAGATGCTGGTCTGAGATCAGCAGGAAGGAAGGAGCAGCTCATCAGACTCCTCTCTGTTCCTCTGCTCTTTCAGCTTCCAGTAAACGAATTGGTCAAAACCTTCATCAGGAAGGTGCATGGGCTACCACATTTCAGTAAATAAAATGGTGTGGGGATTGTTCCCTCACCCTGAGACCAGGTACAGCCTTCCTTGCGCTGATCCAGCTTTTCTTGCCCCTTGGCCAGGTAGCCCCTTCCAAATTCGTGAGTGYTAAGGAATGGCTCATCTCAGTCTGGTGTTTGTATACAGTAAGACTGCCTGTCTCTCTCTGTGCTGGCAAGAGAAAATCTTACCTACAGGGAAGTGAGATGAATCCATCTGGAAAGGTGATGAGTGAAAACCATCGTGCCTGATGTAGAGCTGGGAAGCTTTTGGTCTGCCAGAGAGTGCGGAGTGCTGAGTGTATTGCAGGTGCAGCTGGGGCCAATCTGTGGAGTAAGCAAGGGCTAAATTTCCATTCAAAACTTCCTACAAGCTCTCTGGATTGGTTAGTTCTGTGGAGAAGAAATTTAGATCAGCCCTGAGAGGCTACACAGTTTTATGTGGAAATCAGATTGGTTCATCTCCTAAAACTGCTCCTCCTTTTGAAGGTTCTCACTACAGTAGGTGCCTGGTTTGAAATCTGGCAGTGGTGTTTCTAAGAGCCATGTTTCTTCTCCTATCATGTCTTTCCCTTTTTTATTTAAGTATTTATCCTGCCACAGGTTACTATGGAGCRTTTCTGGCACTTAGATTTATCACCTTTTTCAATCTCATAAACTTTTTCTTTAGTACGATTACATGTTTTGAAAGCTTGGGGAATTCGCTGCATTTCACGCTCTTGTCTTCAATAGCTTCTCCCTCACTTCCTCCTCCTCCTCCTCTTTGTTTGTCAGTGACCTCTGAAACTCTGCTCCCTTTCGTTTCCATCCTGCTGTTTGGTGACTAAATCCAGTCCCCTCTGGCTTTCATTACTCAGCTGCTCTTCCGCTCCCAGCTGATGTTGCTGCCAGGAGCTTTGCCCCGGCCCTRGTGCGCTTTGTGCTCCCACTCTTGTGTCTCAGTGATAAAACACCGCAGTGGTGCTCTCTTGTTTGTTGGAGGTTTGTCCTTTTCCTCCCCCTCGGGAGTTTGCCTCTAATGAGAAACAGGGATGGTCTCTCTGCCAGGAGGGGCTTTCCTCTTCGGCTGATTSCCAAGCTCCCGTCCTGGCAGCAGTTGGAGCAGGGCTCTGTACAGGAGTGAGCCTGTTCCCTTCCTGAGGCACTGACCAGTGAGACTCCCGCCAAGTCAGAGGAGGCTGAGGAGAGGAAGGGGCTCGGCTACAGCCRGGAAACACCCACACCCTGTGTGCAGTGGCTGCTGCTCAGTCAGGTTTTTTTGAGTTACTGAAACTTTGGGTAAGATGGATCAGTGAAAGTTCTGTGGATTTGGGGAAGGTTTGTATAGGTGAAAGGATAGACTAGAGACCTAAAGCCAAAATACTTATTTTCCAGGTTTGTGTTCCCTGAAGGAGGTCTGGAGCTTAAAGACAGAGTAAGGGGCTGAGGTATTCTTTGTCTCTGGACTTCTACAGCCAAGGAACTGTCTGAACTGGTGGCTAGGCTGTGTTGGATTCCTGTTGCCAGGCCTTTCTGTCTGATCCCTTTTTAAGTTATGCACGCTTCTGGCATCTCAGAGGTTCCCTATGGCAATGAGGTCTCCACTTGGGTTATGTAGCAGGTTGTGTTCATGAGAGCACTCTGCTCCAAGGTAAATGCTTTCTTGTGTAGGAATATGCTGAACTACTTCCAAGTGTGACTTCACTGCAACTTTTTGTCCAGCATCAATGAGATGGTGACATTTTAAGCCTACCAATACGTGGAGGATGCACAACCAAGAGAGGTGATAAGGCCTCACATGGCTATGGAAATGAGTTGATTTTTCTAATTTCATTCTCAGATGTTTGTAAAGCACTCTGTTTGGTTTCTAGGTGGCTGTGGGAGGAGACAAGTCTGCGGTGCTCTCCAATGTCATTGAAGAGCTGGTGAGRTTCCGCACCAAAGTCCGTCACTACGCGCTGGCTCTGCCAGAAGCAGCAGACACTGTGCTGGTGGAGGGTACAGCAGGAGCYGAGGAACCCAAACAGGAGCAGAAGGAGAAGAGGAAGCAGTTAATGCGGGAGAGAAARCCCCTTTTGGAAGCTTGTGACAGTCTGCGTGGAGACCTTGCTGCCTTTGGAATCCACATAAAGGTAGAAGATGGTAACCCTCTTTGTGAGACTCTCAGTCACTTTTTAAGACAACACTTACTTTTGTCCTTCATTCCCCTTCAGCAGCGTGTGGCGTTGTGCCCTGCTCCCTGTAACTGCAGCAGCAGGAGGTCAAAGTCAAGCCCTTGTCTGGCTGTACTGCTGCCTTCGCTTCTGCTCCCCCTCAGCCTCGTGTCTCCATGCAAGCCACTGAAAATCTCACAGTATTCAGAAATCCCTAAGTTGCCCAAATTCAATCCAGAAGGAAGGCTGTGAGTAATGTGTKCAGTCTTTAAAAAGATTGCAAAGGAACTAGAAAGTAAACTGAGATGACTTGTGAAAATAGTGCCTTTCTTCTACCCTCCCCACCAAAAATAAGCCTTCATGAAAAAGCCTCTTCCATCTTCAGCAGCTTCATTCCCATCTGTTCCTGAGCCATAAGGACTTTGCCCTATTCCTGTACCACTTCTCTTTCCATCTTGCTTTCTACTTTGAGCCTAAACCTAATGCCAGTGTTCTTTTTCATTATCTCAATGGCATCTCTGGCTTGAGAGAAGGCCGTCTATGGCAGTATTGCCTCCTGCTGGTTCCAAGGAGCTGCATGACTTCTTTAAAGTGCTGCTTCTTCCAGTTCCTGTTGGTCACTGCCCTCCTCACCTCGGCTCCAGCCATTGCTGGGTCACCATTGCATTTTGCATGCGGAGTAATCCTCCATGTTCTCTCCCTTCATCCAGTTATGCTGCTCTTTTTCCTTTGCTTGGGAACTAATCCTGGCACATCTGGTTCTGTCATTTTACCAGTGGGAGGATGGGAAGCACAGTGACATCAGGGAGTGACAGCACCCATCCGCTCCAGCTGCCGAATGTGAGGGCTGTCACTTGTCAGCTCCCGTTACAGCAGAGCGTGGTCGGCTCAGTGCTGCTTTCAGATGAAAGCAAGCGTGGGGACACAMACCGGKGTTGGAAAGAAGTTGCRGGAGACAAGCCTCAAGCTTTCATGGTCAGCAAGCTTCAATTTTATTTTGGGACCTCTGCCTTTTTATAATCAAGATAATAAGCTCATACATATTGCAAAAGCATAGCTCATCATTGGACAACGCAATAATGGTCAATCCCACCCCTRTGTGCCCMCTTGYGGTTACATTTCTTCATACCTCTGCTGATCTTGCCTTTTCTAATAATAACGGTCAGYCCCCCATCTTGCAAAAGCTCCCTCGTGTATGCACTTGCGGTTACAGCTTCTTCATTCTGGTGCTGTTTTTATCCTTCTTGATCCTCCCTGGCGTCTAGCTCARTTCTAGCTCAATCAGCTGAATTTCTTCATGTCCTCCTTTACTGAACAACCATTCCTCAACAGCATTCCCCACAAACCGGGGCRAGGGCCAAAGTGTGCTGGTGGTGCTGAGCTACAGCTGGGAAAGGAAAGGGAAGCTCAACATCTGCTTCCTTTAACTTGTTTTGTAAATCCTCACTGCGCTCATCCGTCAAGCAACTTCACAAATCCAAACAACTGTGCTGAGACAAAGTTTTGGAGAAGCAACCTGCCTTTTCATCTATTGGAGAAATGCTGCAGCCCCACCTCCATCTTTCTGCAGATTTATGTTGGTTTGTTTTTAAAGGGATTTACATTTGAAAACCTCACAAATTAGTCTGRGCCAGGATTCAAACTATTCAATTTATTTAAAAAAAATAATAATCTGAAGCTCAGAATAATCTGTCTCAGAATAGATTGTTCCAGAGGACAAAACACATATATATGCATCTAGGAGTACACACAGTCAGCATSTGAAGTTGAACTCTTGCTTTTTTTTGCTGGTGCCGTGGAAGTATCTGAAGATGTGCTGTGTACTTTGCTCACACCTYGTTTTTGCAAATCCCAAGGAGTCCTGCAAGCAGATGCAGCTCTGCAGTTCCTCACATGGGCTCACCAAAGCATATGTGCAACAAGACATGGCCTTGTACAAAGCAGGGCTCTCTCYACTCTCTTGCTGATCGTGAGTCTGCCTGGCTGGATCAATGATGCCAAAAATGCCATGGTAACACACCACCTAACAGGGGTCCTGCTTCACTAATAAGTGCTTGAGAAAGTTTCTTGAACTTCTCATTTCTACCCAGCCTCTCATTTCCACAAAAAAAGCTTTTGAGCCTCGTGCTGTGCACGCATTAATGCCTCTGCCAACACGCTGCCCTTGCTCRTGAAGGCTCAAGGAAGCCAGCAGCTTCTCAAGTCCATGTGCAGGAGGAAAAACAGCGGAACAGATGAAGCAAACAAGCCTCAACTCCAGCCAGTGCAGACTAGGAACCCCCTGGTCTGAGGCAGGGCAGGGAGGGAGTGGTTCAAGRAGAAGCTTAATTTCCTTAAAAATCAGCTTTGTAGAAATGGTAATTCCCCCTTCAAGTTCTAGCTTTTGATTTTCATCCTCTGGTTTCTTCTGTCAGGTTGCTCAATGCAAAGGATGTTGGCTGAAGTTACATAACTTGAACAAACTGGTTAAAACAAATCCATGTGTCTTGATGGCATGCTTGGAAGCTATATTGCTAAGTGAAATGTAGTAATTGGGTATTTATGCAYCAGAAAGTTTTTATTTTAATGTAAAAAAGGATTCAACATTGTATTCCAGCCTCTCTTATGAGTCAGAGCTCATGGAACATTGTCATGTTTCAGTGTTCAGGCTTTTGTTTTCAACTATTGCAGTCAAACAGCTGCTTCTAAATAGAATGTTCAATTTTACTGTAGTATTGCCTTTCAAAAACATGACAGTATCACATTACAGATCCTGAGTTCAGAAGATCAAACATGTTCAGCAATATATTCTTATGAATTGACCATGCTTTTCTGTGGACATGAGCCATTTAAACTTGAGAATGTTATTGCTTGAGTTGAGCAGAAGCTACTTGTGAGAGGGGCTACACCCCTCTGCAGTGTATTTCTTCCCTCTGAGCTGGGAAAAAACATCTAGGTTTGTTTTACAGCTCTGAGCAGTATTAGCAGTAGCATTTTTGTGAGATTGTTATTGTCACATCTTTTGCCCAACTGGATCAATAGCTTTGCTGCATGAATCTTAGTTAAAAACCTGTGATCCAGACTGGTGGGACTGACCTGCTTACTTTTTCTTACAGGACAGAGCTGCTGTTTCAACCTGGGAAATTGTGGAAGGAGAGCAGAGAGAGAAGCAGACTGAGAAAAAAAGCTGATCTTTCATCTTTGGACTTGTTTTTTATTTCAGCTACTTTGGCAACTGTTGTAAATACTAATTCTTCCAAAACAAAATCTGTTGAATAGAATGGCTAAAAACTGTAGCRTGTAATTTGAGCAAAACTGTTGTCACTATTACTTGGTAAACAAACACAAGCCTTGCAGCACAGGTGGTGGAAGCATCCAGAATGCAAGGCAGCACGGGAGCAGCTGCACTGACTTACACAGAMGTGGGTCTGTTCTACTGCAGGAACTGCCCTCACCCTGTGTTGTGCTGAGTTGACCCGGGATTTAAACAGAGCAAAGGCAGATGGAGGAACTTAGGCCTGTCTTTAGGGTGAAGACAGTTTTATGCCTGTTGGTTTAACAATTCTGTTCCTCAGACATAGTAGGATACTTTAGGGGGGATATTTTTAGGCTTCGAGTAYTTCTCTATTGCAGTGGTGCTGGTCTGGTCCTGTGAAACCTTTACCTGCAATATGATGGTGTCCAGTTACCTCTGAGACTTGGTTATCTGCAGTTTGTTTATGCACAAAATACACGGAGATTTCTCTGGCACTGGGAGCACAGCACACTCAGGATCTCTCCATAATTGCGAAGATAAAATTAGTTTGTTTAGTTTTCAGCTCTTCAGTTACCTTTTCGCTGGCTCTGGCCACTGTGGCTGTGGGCAGAGGTGCAGGAGCCTCTGTTATACCTGAGGTGCTCTGTGTTGTAGGGTCTGTGCTGATATGGGGCTGGTTCTTACCAGGTACCCACACTTTCTTTCAATCAGTTTATGAAAATATAATTATCAAGAACTTGGGTTCATCAAAAAGGCACTTCACTTGTGTGATTGGTGTTTTCAAAGTATCTATTCAAAAGGATAAAGGCTCTCTTTTATACTATTGAGAATAAAATGTACAGCTATTTTTCTGCTCCCTTTCTCCATTATCTGTACTTCCAGAGAAAACGGGGGTGTCTCTTCATCAGCACTGGRGCAGGTGCTCATTTGACACAGCTGGTATTGTACATTTGCTGGTGGCAGTGTCGTTCTAGCAAAACAGAGTGAATGGTGAGCAGGCAGCTCAGCTGCTGTGTGAAATGGGATTGGCACACACCAAACAAAGTCCAGTCAATTTGCTATTATTTTTATTTCCTACCAAAAGAAACTGCTACATTTCCAGAATGTTTAAAAATTGTAACAATTTGTATACATTAGTGAATAACAGAGTTACAACTTCTGCGTACTTTAAAACCAACATGGCAGGTTGAAATCTGTACTGAGCTCTGTTAATTGATTGACTTCGCCTACAAATGTAATTTAGATTATAATACCACTGATGTTCTAATTACAAGAAAAAATTGTTTCTTTTAAAGGAAAGGCAGTAGCTGTTTTAAAATCAGTTTTAACTTTCTGATTTCATTTAAAAGTAGTCAGGTTTCTCAAATACATTTACGGGGGGGGAAATAATAGCTTAAGTTTCCCCAAAGATGTAGACAGTTTTCAAAACTGCYTAAATTAAACACTAAAACCTCATCTCTTAAGAGTAGTCTGTGAACCCTCATAGAGCAATACGAGCAAACACTTAAAAACCTATTTTAAAAATAGGTAACTGGTTTAAAAAGAAAAATAAAAACGCATCAGGGTGAGGTAGTAGTCACAGTGCATCCAGAAATACCAACTCTGGGGGCTGAAGGGAAATACTTGGAGCAGCCTTTCTGATGCTGGGTGCTTTCTGCAGGCAGCCATTGCAAGGAATGAGAACAGTCTGGTGTGTGACACCACATTCTGGCTGAGAGCACTGCAGGAGTGGCTGTGCTGAACAGGTAACACCGACTGCAACAACCGGACATGGTTATGTCCTTGTTTCAGAGCTTTAACAAGCACAAACACTTGGAGCTGGATTGGAGGTTCAAAGGCAGTACCCACTTACATTTACTTTGCATGAACTTGCCTCCCTCACCACKGGTTCAATCCCTACAAGCTTTGACTAAATCTCCAAAAATGTAAAGAATAATCCTGTGCAAAATCCCACAGAAGTTTCACTTTATACCTAATGCTTGCCTGCCCTGCCAGTGTACCAGATCAGTGTGGCCCTGACAGTATCCTTCCTGTCTGTCCTGCAAAGATCAAGCAAAAGCCTCTACACTTTTTGCTCTAAAAACTCTGCTTTTTGCAGTACTAAGTACTGCACCTGAAGATCAAACACGGAGCACCCTTTTTCTGTTCCTGCCTTTGACTGGCAGTGTACGGCTGCCTGCACACCACTATGAGGGTACAGGTACATGCCGGGGGCTGCCTTTTGTTCCTTCAACTTGTATTCTGCTGCCTCATCGCTATCCACCTACAGATCCGTGTGCTGGTCTGCTCTGAGCTCTAACCCAGCAGCCAACCACAGATTTAAAAGCACTTTTGCATGATCATGAGTCTGACCAGTTCTGCTGGGTATCATCGAGTTTCTTGCCCCGCCTAGTACCTCTCCAAATGATAATTTCACAAGCTCATCRTAGCGAATTCCAGATGAGTCAAGACCAGATAAAGAAATAGAAAATTATTCCTTTTTCAGGTAAGCCTAATTATTGTTTAATGAATTTTACTGCTAAGASACCTATAGTATATCTTTATTCTGTCAAGGAGGGAACCTTTTAAAAAAAATAAGGGGTGCATTRTCCAAATGAATGCTGCCTCTGGACTGGGAATGGGAAAAGGCAACTAATTACATTCAAAATCTACAGCAACTCTCATGCATTCCCTTTCCAAAGAGGCTTGCTTTTTGCTTCTTACTATACTAGCATGGCAAAAAATGAAGTGCAATAGCTAATTCTAGACAAAGGGTCTAAGAATGACAAGTGACAACCTTGGTGCAATCCAAGAAATTCAGTTGAGCTGGTGGAAGAATTTAATCTAAAGATCAAGTGCATTTTTTTTTGCTGTTCACACTTTAGTTATTGCTCAATAACTATCAAAAAGAACAGAGGAATACTTTCAGTTTAGTTTTATTATATTATAACAGTTCTGCAACTACAGCTTATTTCAGCCAAAATGTTTCTGTATTCCAAACTCTTAAAAAATACCTACATTAATCATATTTTTCTATTCTTAAAAATAAAAAATATCTACCTAACATACCAATGCTGCTATAGCACTTGAAAGGGTGCATTATGTAAATTCTACGGTACATGTAATTACTCTTGCAGCCATTGTTCTTCCTTTTCTTCTTCTCTTCTGCTGCTTTGGTTTCAGGTTTCAAAAAGTTTGTTAAAAGCTGTTCCAACTTCTGAAACCATGTCAGAGGCTGTCATTGAACGTCCGAATTTTTGAAAGGCTTGGTGGTTAGACTGCCTCGTGAGAGAGCAAGCTCCAAATGCAGCGACCAGAAACGGATTTTGACTAAAAGGAAAAAAAMCAAAAAACAACATTATWAAGAGAATCTGAGTACTTCTGTGCCATTTATGAGGCAGTGGACATCATCTCTGTACTCTTAAATGTTTGTCAGCATTGCCAGGAAGGCCTCTTAAGCAAATATGTCTCAGACTGCACTGCAGACCATCTTTGAATATTTTTTAACAAATACTTCCCTAGCCATGGCACAGCAGATGACTGAGAAACACCACCAGGCCCAAAGCATGCCAGAGGACAATAGGCTTAGAAAGTGGGTAAAGTGCCCCATGTCTAATTTTACTGAAGTGAGGAAGACCAAAATCTGACAGCATTTCAACCCCCTTTCCTCTCCGTTTGCTGGGTAACTACATTTAGTTTTGTCTAGCAGGGGTGAGGGAAGGTTGTGGGAATGCAGACAAGAGGTAATTTTCAACAGGGCCATAAATGGCTGCTCCAAGGCCTTCACCAGATCAGCTTAAAAGAGATGCAGTGGCAGGTGTAGACCGCAAGAGAAGTTAAGGCACACTGCTGTACTGCCTCTCACACACTTTAGGAACTGCCAAAGACAGTGTACCCAGACCCAGATCCCTAATGCTGACCCTTCCCTGGAGAAGCCAGCACAGTCCAGAGCCACCTCCTCCTGCCACCTCTGGAGCACTTTTTCACAGTCTGAGTCATGGGAATCACCTCTGCTGCCTTAAAAGGGAACACAACTGCAGAGTAGTTCAGCAGCCAGTGGGCTCCAGGCTCTGGCTGATCAAAAACCTCACAAAGCTCAGCCTCAGCTGAGCACTGCTGCCTGTGAGACACTAAGGACTCCTGACTCCTCTGCCAAGTGAGAGTTTTGTGACAAATCCCGACGTAAAGCACAGGCAAAGCAGGACATGACTTTACAATTAGGTGTCACCTAAGCAGAATTTCCATGTACTTATCTAGGTGCATGAGTATTTAAGTTGTCTTGAGAGTTAATCTTGGATGCCCAAATACTGCTCTGAAACAAGAGCTGTGCAGTCTCCTGGGCTCGAGGCAGCTGAAGCACCACAYTCCAAAGACATCAGCATCCTCTCTATTTGAGTGAGGAATCCCACCTGCTGCACCCTTAGCACCCTGAGAGCCAGCGCAATCTCGGTGTTTGAAAAGCTCTCTCTCTGTACAGACCCATTTGAAATGCCAGAGCCAGGCACAAGCTGCAATGACTGCAGTGCAGCCTCTAAGAAGATGCCCTGACTCACTGAACCCAAAAAGCTCCTCCTTTCCTGCAACACATGAGGTAGGCAGGACTGGTACAGCAGGTGTCTGTGAAGGGTCACCTGAACACCACTGCAGGAGACACAATGCATTGCTGATGCCAATTATACTTTTCCTTCATCTATAAAATAAGAGTTTCCGAGCAAGCTGTTTGGAAAAGCCACAGGAGCTCAAGTCAGGAAAGCCTGGAGAACACGTGCTGTGTTTGCTAATCTCTCCAACAATTTAATACTGCTGTGCTGYACCCCATGCAGAAATGAAGTCACTCTTAAAACAGAAATTGACTTAAAACAGAATTCCTCCTTTAGTGGCAGCTGCAACTTCAGATACCCAAAATGACAAAGGAAACCAAGATTATGTTCGTTAGAATCCAGAATTCTGAAGCCTGGTCCCTCATTCTCCCGGGGGTGCCTGGTGCAGTGCCCTTGTGGTAACACAAGCACAGGTAACTCCCCTGGACACCTGACCTGTGCACTGCATGCACCCCTGAAAGGGGACAGAAGGTCTTCACTCCTTAAACTTCCATAGCTCATTACCTATTGAGAAGAGGGATGGTAGCTCTCTGACTGCTTCCTTTCAACTTTAAATAAAGCTGCTGCTTTCACAGAAACACTATCTGGAGCAGCTAGTTGGGCAGGAATTGAGATAATTTAACTAAAAAGCCAAAAGCCATCTACATGGCTGCTTTATATACAACCAAAGGGGACTGCCATTTGGCCTTAAAAGAACTACTGTCTTTGAAACTGTATTTTATTTGCAAGTTTCAACATACCTGCTCCACTGAATTAATCAGGCACAATGCAGAAGGATTCACCAAAATACAAAATCAAAGGCAAACATGTCTTTTGAATTACAAAGATGCTATTGCCAATGACTACCMCTTATTTATCCTTCATACTTTCTGCCTACATTCAATTGTTTTGAAAACATGTACATCATACATAAATATTCCTGTGAACAGATCCAGAAGCTCTTCTTCTGCCTCAGACTTAGGAGATGTTAGATTACTAAAGGGTTTGTCTTATTGAAATTACATATATATATATATATATATAATTACTATTATATAGACTGCTCTAGAACACTCTTACACTTTTTAAAAGTACACGGAAACCTTCGTACCAAAATCTCAATTTCATTTGTAAATTTATTAGCAGGTGTATGACARTTGCTATAGGTGAACACAGACTCACAGCAATTAAGTTATTAATTAATATTCATACCCATTTGTTTTTTCAGCTCCAGCAACAAASGCCCAGTGCGCCAAAACTCCAAGAGAGCCAGAAAGGAGGTCCCCCTGTCCACCACATCTCCGGCTGCTTCCTTCGTGACTGCACACAAGCACTATGAACAGACAAACCAAAAATGAAGTTATGTGCTTTTTTCCTTCCATTTACAGTTACAGCACTGCAGCTGCAAGGGTTACCCTCTGAGGCACACAGCACCTAACAGGTGAGAGACTTATCACAGGCAGCAGAATATGCAGAAACACATTACTCTTAAAAAAAAAAGTTGCATTAACATTTTAAAAAATACTTTTCTCRTTACCTTTTAATCCCTTGCAARTAACAYTGCACAATGTACACATTTTCTCCACTTCACTCAGCCTGCACAGGTGAATTTAGTAATTCATATGGCATCATGAACCATCACCCCAAACTGGACCAGGTCCCTCCACAAATACATTGCTCAAACACAAATCTTCAGTTCTCTGATATTCCAAGTTTGCAAATGGAAACCAAGGTGTTTACAAAAAGCAAATGCAAAATAGAACTAAAATCTCAAATGTTCTACCATATCCATCACAAAAATATTTTATTGAAACAGCCTTTTCCTTAAGCTTTGTAAAACCATATGCAAGACAGATTTTTTTTCTGGCAATCAACAGCGTCCTCACCATCCGTGTATGTTTCCCTCAGCCGTGTCACTGTGGACAGGCTGTGTCAGGGTATCAGGTGTTACATTTCTATTTTAAATATACRAAGGACCTTGGTCAAACTGATCTCTTTGTGGAGCTTTAACTATGAAGAACATGCAAATGGTTTCATTACATTTAACTCCTTTGTTCTCCACTCTCAACAAGCCCAAGCAGGAAGCCTGGAGGATATATAATGCACACAAAAYGAAAACATCAATTCTGCTACCCTTCTCCAAACTCTCTTGTGGGTATGTACCTATCCTTAGCTTTTCTTCTTGCTTGGCTCTGAAAAAAACCAATTTGTTTTCCCCCCTAGGAGGATGCAAGACTGGCAGAATCATGATTATCCAAGTGGTCAAGTGATCCTCAGCATTTCCAGTCAGCTACTGCAGGTTCAGGACTGTGCACACAATMATTTGTGTGCTGCTGAGCACACCAAACATACAAGCAAAATATGAAGGAAGGCCAGACATTGCTTGGACAACAGCCCTTACCTCAAGCCTGGGCTGGGTTTCTCCAAAGTGTATAAACAGAGCAGACCAGGTATTTTAGAGGAAGCACTATCCATATTTAACGTTTTGCAAAAAATTTGCTCTTTCAAAYGAATGAAAAAAATTTGCCCAGAGCTGAAGGACTTGCACATACATTGTCCTAAACAGCAAGTGATAAAAAACTACATAATGCCAATAACCCCCTTCCAGTTCATTACGTGGAACAGCAAAGAATTGTCCTTCACTTCCATTCCCTCCCAATTCTTCCAGCAGTAATTGCCRGGCTCACGAGCCCAGGCAGTTGTGCGTGTTTGCTGCCACTGAGAGGGCAAAGATTCATCAGTCACCACGAGCACAGCACACACTGCTGCAGCCTTGCCAGCAGTTCATTTTCCCAATCACTCTTCTCCCCTCCCCCCTCCCCCTCTCAAATTAAGATTCTGGATGTGTTTCTCAGTGAGCAGTAGCTAATGTCAAATTTCACAAGTGTAATGCCCTTCTGAGTTAGCTATCTGARGAAGGTATGCCCTTTTAGGTGGCGTGATTTATTCTTATTTTTATTTTGAATACAGTGCTTCGGAGAAATTGCCTCTAATTCTACTACTTTGAAGATGCTATCTCACAGGATTTTCACTTTGAGGGCTTGAACTCCTGGCAGGAGGCAGGATGGAAATCCTCTGTTCAAAAGCTTTGGGGCCTTCTGACTGACAGCTGAGCACAAGCCCCTGCTTATTAGCTGTATGTCACCATCTGCCACTATTCTCTAGCCCCACAACCTTCCAGTCACTTTGAGCTGCACAGGAAAGCAAGATCTCCTCAAACTAGGCCAATTATAATACTCTGCTAAATCCAGAAAAAAAAAAAAAAAAAAAAAAGTGGTCTTT